GTTAATTCAATTTGTTACTCTCCTGATGGTACTACATTAGCATCTGGTAGTGCAGATAACTCTATCCGTTTATGGGATGTTAAGACAGGATAATAAAAAGCCAAATTAGATGGCCATTCATCAAAAGTTTATTCAGTCAATTTCTCTCCTGATGGAAATACATTAGCTTCTGGTAGTTAAGATAATTCTATCCGTCTTTGGAATGTAAAAATATCAAAGGAAATACTCCAATCAGATAGTAGCTATAAAGATTTGCTTGCCCAGTTTAACATACCTCTTAAGAATAGCTCCTTATTGCCAAATGGTATTTCTTATTAATTATTATTTAGTTAATCCTCATTATACAATACTTAGAATAAGCTAGAATCCTTATTTAGAAGCATAAGGAACACTTATCTTATAAGGACAATACATTAGTCATTAAGGGGAAGATTTAAAACCATTGTTCAAATCCAGAGGAAGTTTCTTTTTAGAAGACTTAAAGCAAAAGTGAATTTGATTATTCATTACAAACATTACAATTACAATTTTATTAACTTTGGTTTTTTGTTTCAATTCTTTTATCATCATTCTTTACAGTGATTACAAAATTTTAATTTAATATTATGAAAATATATAGTATTTCTTTAATAATGATTACTAATAGTTTAGTATAATTTAGATTTTCAGTTTATTATAAAGATAAAGATAATGATACAATTAAGAACAAAGATACATTTCAAAAATTAAAAAAATATCATCAATGTTAGAATTATCTTAAACGAAACAAAGTTAAAACATTGGAATTGAATGATTTTTAAAATTACTCAATCTTGGTAATATTTTCGTAACCTGTTATTTTATATTTTCAATTGATATTAACAGTATTAGAGAGAATAAAGAACAGAAAAGATATATGAATCATCAATAAGTATTCCAACCCCTAATAAGATTTAGAGATCTTAATTATCCCCATCCTTAACAATAATCCTAAATCAGTTCTATCTGAATTACATCCAAAGGAGCTACTTTCAATAATAATTTTGCATAAAAGGGACAGTTATTAATCATTAAGATAAGAACAATGTAATCATAACTCAAATAGATTTTTTTAGAAATTAATTAATATCTACATAACGATAATATCAGTGAACTAGTTCAACTTTATTAATAGTTTATTAAATCACAAAATTACCCAAGATTGGATTTCATTAACATAATGGATATTGTTAAAAAAATTACAAAATTGTTCTTATATAAAACTATGAGTTTAACGCAATTAGACAAAAAATTTTAGAATTCACTAAATTTATTGATCTTAAATAAATGTATTTTTTTCTCTTAAAAAGTTTTACCGTTATGCCTTAAACACAACGAGATAGAGTCATTTATTAGTAATCATTTCTAGTTAAAGCTTCTGCCTTTACATTCTATAGATGAATTGAGTCATCCCCTACTGCCAGATGGTAATGTAGAACCATCAGGAGAGAGTAACAAATTGATTAAACTGTCCCATATTAATTATGATGAGCTGAATCAAGAATAAAATACAAACAAATTATCAAAACGCCTTGTCACGAGATATTAGATTTCAAAATTAAAATGTCAATACAATCATTTTATAGCCATAAATTTAAACTCTTATTTTTAGAATCTTTACGAATTATGTATTAATTAAAATATGATTCAACTTGAGTATAATTTATTATGGACTATTTCAGATATTATATGCATATTATATTTATATTGTAAAATTTAAAGTAAAGTTCTTGTTCTATTTTAAATGCTAGGTTTGCTTCTCTATGTAATGATAATTACTACAAATTTATCCATGTTAGTATGAGATATCCAAAATGTTGTAACATGTTGTGCCAACTTCTCAATTGTCAATTTAGAACTATAATATTATAGTTACATAGTGTAAGAATTGTATATTGAAGCTAATCTTTTGTTCGGATTAAGTGCTTTTTATATTATTGCTAAGGAGACTGAATAATTAACAAACCAAAACTCATTTAAAATCAACTGTTTTTATCAATTTATTTCAATCCTTCTAAATAAAATCTTAATGAGAAACCCTCTTCACAAAAGGCTGGACGAAACAATCTTAGGAAATGTATAATTAATCCTTAATTAATAACACTAATTCCAAATGAAGATCTGTATGTTTCTTAACTAATTTGAGATGGGGTGAATTAATAAATACTTTTTGGATGAAAGAAATGGAGTCAATGTTTTAGACCCTACATACGATTTCTGAGAAGTGGTGTAAAGGATGTAAAAATTGGTACAATTTGCACTTCGTATTCTTCCTTTGTTTAGTCTTTAATCAATTCACCATATTTAGGAATAGAGCAGCTGATTTCTGTCTCTAACAGCTGAAATAATGATGGCTTCAAAAAAATCTTGCTCAAAATCTATAAGGACAAATTTTTGCCTTTATTCTCAATGTCTTAGTTTGCAGATCAATTATAAGAACAACTAACTTGCTTTGATGAGATAGTATTTTTCTTGAGCAAATCTAGTTAAGTCTCGAAACTTCTAATATTCTGAGGCAATTTGCCAAATTCTTCATAAAGCAAGTCAATTCTAGTTTAAGTACATAGACCAGAGAGGATAATTCATATCTGATAACAACGTGATAAACTTGCTGTTGCTCAATCATTACGGTTAAAATTACATTATATGCAGAAAAACTACTTTAACTTGCGCCAACATATACTGGTTCCCTCTTCATGAAAAGTATTATCAATAATAAACGGATTGTAAATATCTCAAAATAGTATGAAAAACTTTAACACATCCTCTCAATAAATGCACTTTTTGCTGGATTAAAAAGCATCCTTTTCATAGTATTCTCAGTACACTCAGTGAATTAAATTATGTATAACTTATAGATATAAACTAATAAGTATTTAAACACGCTGTTTTAAATTTAGTAAATCAAGTAAGATGACAGCAAATCCAATCTGATAATGTAGAATATACGAGGATTTTTGCAATGTATCAATTAAGCAGGAAAATCATTTCAAAGCAGATCTTTAAATCAATTGTGAAATCTCAAGGCTTTATTTATAAGATAGAATCAAAAATTAATTTTACAGCAACTTCTAGTATAAACTAAAGCAAATGACATTTGCTTGCTTGAACAATTTTGCACCAAATTAAATTAATTTATATCAATGAAACAGGAATAGGCATAGATTTTATAGAGTTTGGAGTAACAAAAAATAAGATTTCTACAGATCTAGCAGAGGTACTAACGACAATCAATATCATAGGAACATGAGTTAAAATATGTGAATTATGTATTTACCATCTAAGCAGTTTGAAAAGGAAGATTTATTAGAGTGATAGAATTAAATAAAAAATGGTTACTCTAAACCTTTATTAAATAGAATTTTGTTAATTTTAAATTTTTAGTATTTTCAGTACACTTTTGAAGGATAGATTCAATTTGAAGATGGAGATATCAGACTGTTCTAAGTGCATATAATACCCTTAAGTATACAACTTTACTTGTTTTCTTTTTATCAAGTCCATAATTACATTATTTTTTCAATAAGTTAAGTTTAAACAGGCCAAATGGACAGCTGTCTGAGAAGTTTGCAATTATCAACTAATGAAATTTAAGAAACAAGAAGAATGAGAATATACTCATGTGCAACAAGGATAGGAAGATATTGAGTTACTAGTGCACTAAATCCATCTTAGTTAAACACCAAAAGCCTTACCAAAAATTAGCTTTTATAGCCTTAAAGGATGTTCGCGTCACGACATGCAGAAGAGTGGTCATAAGTAGAGCAATAAAATAGTTTTTAAATTGCATCACATTATTTTTAGGTTGATGATCGCAAAGTATTATTAACATGTTTTCCAAGTATCAAAAATAATAGCACAAATCATATCAGGTATAAACTAAATTTCAAGCACTTGTCATATGAGATTTGAATAAAGATGTTTGTTCAGACATATTTGAAGAAATGCACATCACAGTAGGACTATTCTTAAAAAATAGCCATCACTAACAAATGCATAAGGATGATAGGCAAATGACCTCTAGTGCTTGAGAGACTATCAGTACAACTATTTTAAAATGATTTGGAATAATAACAATTAATCCCTACCATCAATTTTTGTGAGGTTCTAAATACAGTAAGCAACAGTTGGTTTGATAACCAGTTGTTGTGCAACATAGAACACACTGAGCTCATATGTGCCTCCTTTTTTAGATCCTCCCAATTATATTAGGGCTGACAATATTTATTCTATTAAAAAGCCAGAGACTGAACAATAAGGTTGCAGTCCCAGTTTCTTGCATTATATATAAGGCTACATGCATCAGCTGTGACAGCATAGACAGTTCTTCATAAATCGCAAGAATATTCAAGAAACAGCTGATAAGATTAATTTGTGCTTTTATTTCATCAATAAACACAAACAGCCAAATCCTGTTAAAATATCGACATAAAATTTCTGATAGACTTTAAAAAAAGACTAATTTTGCAGTAGGCAGAACTATATATCTGTACTAATACCATTTAGTATTAGAAAACAGTCGCAGCTAATGGTACACAATTTAAAAATGGATTCAAATGTACTATAAGTGAATCGATTATGTAGATGTAAAGAACTTATCTTTTTTTATATATATTGATTCATGTATTATTTATATACTCTAAATTCATATCTTTCTATTAACTCAATCCCAAATGAATTTATCTCAAATTTCTTTCAGGCAATCCGGGAATTTGTTTTTATTGCAGTTTTGATGATAGATTTCATTGAAATAGGTGGGTTGCAATTAGTTTTTTGAATTATATTGATTTTTACTTGCTTAATTTTCTTTTTATTTCAAATTTGTTCGATTCAATGAGTGATATTATTCTATCATCGAGCAACAAATGCTGGCTAGTAGTTATTTATAATTAGATGTAGTCTATCCGTTTATGGGATGTTAAGACAGGATAATAAAAAGCCAAATTAGATGGTCATTCTGATTATGTAAGAACAATTTGTTACTCTCCTGATGGTACTACATTAGCATCTGGTGGTGGGAATTAATATTATTAGGGAGATAACTCTATCCGTTTATAGGATGTTAAGACAGGATAATAAAAAGCCAAATTAGATGGTCATTCTGATTATGTAAGAACAATTTGTTACTCTCCTGATGGTACTACATTAGCATCTGGTGGTGGGAATTAATATTATTAGGGAGATAACTCTATCCGTTTATAGGATGTTAAGACAGGATAATAAAAAGCCAAATTAGATGGTCATTCTGATTATGTAAGAACAATTTGTTACTCTCCTGATGGTACTACATTAGCATCTGGTGGTGGGAATTAATATTATTAGGGAGATAACTCTATCCGTTTATAGGATGTTAAGACAGGATAATAAAAAGCCAAATTAGATGGTCATTCTGATTATGTAAGAACAATTTGTTACTCTCCTGATGGTACTACATTAGCATCTGGTGGTGGGAATTAATATTATTAGGGAGATAACTCTATCCGTTTATAGGATGTTAAGACAGGATAATAAAAAGCCAAATTAGATGGTCATTCTGATTATGTAAGAACAATTTGTTACTCTCCTGATGGTACTACATTAGCATCTGGTGGTGGGAATTAATATTATTAGGGAGATAACTCTATCCGTTTATAGGATGTTAAGACAGGATAATAAAAAGCCAAATTAGATGGTCATTCTGATTATGTAAGAACAATTTGTTACTCTCCTGATGGTACTACATTAGCATCTGGTGGTGGGAATTAATATTATTAGGGAGATAACTCTATTCATTTATGGAATGTTAAGACAGGATAATAAAAAGCCAAATTAGATGGTCATTCAATAGCAGTTTATTCAATTTGTTACTCTCCTGATGGAACTACATTAGCATCTGGTAGTAATGATAACTCTATCCGTTATGGGATGTTAAGACACAAGAGGAAATCGTCTCGTCAGATCATCGATATAAAAACATTTTAGCATAATTTTAAACTCCAATTTTTAATAAAACATGATTAACAATAATGGTATTAATTATCTATTATTATTTAGTTTCATCGATTATCACGAATCTTCTGATATCACAATAGCTTATATTTTAATCTTAAGGAGCGCTAATTTTGAGAAGAGAATTTACTAATCGTGGGCATCAACTTGAAGACATTATTAAAACAAAGAGGAAGTGTCATTTTAGAGAACGAAATGGAATTATAAAAACGATGAAAATTGATTAATATTTATAATCATAATATAAGAAAAATACAAATAGAAGAAATGAATAATTAAGATGCTAATTTGATTGAAAAATTTAATCAACCCTCAAAATATATTATAATATTGTCGCTATATTAAATCTTTCCCTTATTTTTTGGAAATTTCAAAATTCACACATAGAGATCATTAATTGCTGAATCTGCTGGAACTATGTAAAAGAAGATATTTCTTTTGTTTGAGAAAGTAGTAAAACTTATATGACGTTAACACAGCTTGTATAGTTTAGAAAGAATATCTAAGCAAGTAGGTGTCTTTCCAGTACGCTATTTATAAACAATTTCAAGTATTAAAGGTGACTGCATCTTGTGAATAAAGCAAAATTTGATAATTAATTAGGACTGCTAGATATGCGAAATTGCAGCTTGGTAAGCAACTCAAATATTAGGACTTCTACCATATAATTAGTGAGATAGGATATTATATATACATAACTGTTAATATTTAAGATGGCACAAAGCATTTCTAAAGCCTGAAATTCAGCTGAAATGGTATAACTTAAACTTGGACCTACTTAAGAAAAACTTCTAGCTGAAAACTCAACTAATTTTCAATTTGTTTAAACACAAATCAGAACAGTAAACGAGCATCATTTAAATTATATTAGAATAAAAATGAGAAAAGAATGGTTGTAAATGTGGAATACTTTTAAGGACTTATTGTTATTAAGAAGGCTGAAATAAAACTAAAAGGATTGCAATGTCCATCATTAAAATTGCATCCATTCACACAATACACCTAACTCAAAAAAGTTGGATTTGCATAAATTTATCGATTGCTTTCTTATGTTTTATATTAAACAAAAGACATTTTTAAGTCAGACAATAAAAAGACTTTTTATATCCTTCCATATCAAATCAAATAATAAGTTTGTGAAAACCCTTTAAATGATTTTTGTTAGCTGCACTTAACTAAAAATACATGATAGGAAGTTGGCAAGTATTGGAGTGAGCAAGCTCTAATTGTAATATAAAGGAATTTTATAAAGACGTATGAAAACATACTCAAAAGGTGATATATTAATCTCTATTATTATTGAATAGTGTATTTAGAAAAATCGAGTAGTGGAACTAAAAAAACTCTTTGATTAAAAGGAGAGGACAATTCTCATTCGGTTTGCTTAAGGAATAAATATTTAATTATTCATCAAATTTTTTCGAAGATTTTCTTTTTTTACAATCATAATTTCTTCCATCTGTTTTCAAACATTAATAACTACTTAAGAAGTAATAAAAAATTTTCTCTTTGTACCAACAATAGCTAAGTGCTTGATAATTGAATTAAAAGCCAACATTTAGTACATTCAAAGCAAAATCATAATGCTAATTATTGTTAAAAATAATCACTAATTAAGAAAGGTATAATTTTCTGATATGTTATAACAATTATCTTCCATATATTCTAAAAAAATTAAATCAGTCATTATGAGTCTAAAAAACTCCAAAAAATCCATCATAATTATAATCCCAAATTTCAAAGCATTTGTAAATAAATTAAGAATTTGCTACAACTTAGGTATGAGAGCAAAAGATAATCAACAATTAATCATACAATTTGAATTTAAAATTTCTTTCTAATTGCCCTTCAATTTAATGTGAATATAAAAATACTTTGTAAATATTTAATATTAGTAGGATCTATTAAATAAAATTTAAATACAAAATTTATTAGGTTCATTATAATTGTACTCCAGATTTTAGGTTGTGCTTAAACACATTAAAATTTTTGCTAAGCATCGACACAAGAGCTAATAATAAACCACCCAATTCCGTTAATAAAATTAGACATATCGAAATGTAATTGTAAGATCATATATGGTCAAGTATCCATTTTAAAGATTTAGAGTTTTCAAAGCCTACTTTAGGGGTCAGTAGATGGATTTGATAAATTAATTAAAGGCTTTCTTTTTTTGCAACTGAAGTTAATTAAGAAAAATTCTGTAGGTAACAAAGTATTTTAATAGAAATAGAGTTATATTTCTCTTGTATAAGAAAAAATCAGAGGATTGTATATAGACTGAGTTAATAAAATGTAGAAAATTATAAAGCTAGAAACCGAGAGGCTATTGCACAAAATTCTTTATGATTTCATAAAAGGAAACCTATAACTAACCGAATGAGGGTTTTGTTTTTCTCCTATTTATCAGTGTCATTTTCAAGCATCCGGTATTAAGGATTAGAATTTAAGATTAGGATGTTATAATTCAGACCGTCTTATCCTAGTAGAAAAAACATGATAAATCTTTAGTAAATGAACTAAAATAATAATATGGCCATATCACTCTTGATCAGTAAAAAAGATTCTTCTTTCTTTTTCATTTTTGAAATATACTAATATTTGATTTTTTTTAATTTATCAATATATGAAAAGCAAGAAATTTTTCTCAGAAAATATCAGCTCCATAATAACTGTGAACTAATTTCTCGATGAGAGTAGAATCTAATCTAAGAATTTGTAGTGATTCTTTTGTCCACTTTATACATAATCAATTGCCAAATTCTCTTGTCATATCACTATTATCTTTTTTTCACAATCTAACGACATCTATAATTTGTGAATCCTACAGAGCTTCTAAAAAGGTACAATAATTGCAAAACTATCAGAAACCTCCAAATACAGAAGATCTAAAAACTCATCAAGTAGTAATTGATATTTATTAATTGATAGCATTTTTTTGAAGGAAAGCATTTCTACCTATTTAATCTGCTTAAATTTACTTCTCAATTTTTAGGAGCAAAATTTTATTATACAATAATTTCTGATTAAGAAATTGATATTCGTTTGGGTTAATAATAACCTGGAAATGTTGTAGAAACATTGAGTCAACCTTGAAATTTATTAAGATAAATCAGTGACTAATAGAATAAATACCATTTATAAAACGTATTTTTAATCAAGCCCACCGTTTTATTTCAATAGATATATTTATCATTAGCTTTAGTACTTCTTCCAATTGCTATTTATTGTATAATAATCGTTTCAGTTTTAGCACTAAAACTCATTTATTATTCCATTGTAACTTTTATAGATTGTATTGTAGCTTAATTACAATTATTTCTTCTAATACATGGGTTTTAAAAATTATTCTCTTTTTATAAATCATAAATTTTTCTTTATTTAATCTTAATTATCAAAAATTAAAAGTTATTGGGATATTTTATGTTTATTTAAAGTAATGTTATTTTTCAAAAGATTATTCCTGTAATTATAATTTAACTAAAATTTAATCAGATCAAAACCATCCAAATTCTGAATTTATTTCAAGCAAAAGAGAGAAATTTAGAGATTACTTAAAATAGCGAAAAATGCAAATTTCTCAATACTTTTATCAGAATTAAATAATCAAAAGTAGTAAAAAGCAAAACGGACTGCCTACTAGATCACCTAACAATAATTTCAAGAACAGAGAGCAAATAGTCGCTCCTCACTCCTAAACGGTATTAATTTGATCCCATAAACACAATATTCCTTCTCTAAATATCCAATACTGTAAATATAAATCCTTTGCTGATTTCTATAACAATTTAATATAGAACTCTCAAAATGCTTTAATTGAACAAGAGAAAAATTGAGACAATTAAACCGCTATGAAGAATCATCAACTAAAGACATACTGAAAGAAATAGAGAAATACCTTAGGAGTAATTTCTAGTAAGGAAACATTTCGCAGGATTAATAAGTTCTTAATCATAAAATCAGCAAAAAGAGATGGAGGTCAAATGAAATGTTATCTTGATGGAATGAATAAATTCTTTTAGATTAACTTGGCATTTTCTTAAAAAATATTAACCCAAATTATAGCGAATCACCTTAGAAGACTTCAAATTTATGAAAGAAAAAATGTCCCAAAACAAAGAATTGAATTTTGATATAATTTCTGAAAAGAGGATTCTATAATTACCCTAATTTACAGACGATTGATCATGTTTGGACATAGCACTTGAAAAATAATGGGAAAAGAGTTAATTCAGACTGGGGAAATAATCTTAAAAGTTTATTTCTGTTCTGCAAAATTCATATCAAAGAGTGATGTGGACTTTTGCATTTATCTGAATATCATGAAATAAACTTCAATGATATATTAGAAAAAGTAATTAAAAGCAAACCGAATACAGATCTGAAGAGAAGCCTGGAACAATAAATAGAAGATGTATAAGGAGATGAAATGGAGTTATGATTTATAAAATAAATAATAATAATAATAATTCCTGTCATTTCCTCGTCTAAACAGAGTATATAAAATAAAATATAAATTAATAATAGATTCTTTACTAGCCCATCATGATATTTTAATCCTAGACCCTTGGTTTGCTATTAAGTCATCCTAATTTAAGTATTTCATGAATTTGAAGTAAACAAAAATAGGTCGATATTTATTTCTGTGTTTCTTAAATTAGTTGAAAATTTACCGAAAAATAGACCATTTTACGATTATACATCAATTATAACGAAAACAATTGATTTTCCTAATAAGAATAAATTATTCGAATATAAAGAACAATGATTAGAATTAAGATTCTCATATCTCAACTTAATACTTAAAAGTAACTTATGAAGTCAAGATATTTACTTATTATTTTAATGGATCCTGCCTTTTGCAATTGATAATAGTAAAGGTCATAACTTGATAATTTATTATTTTCATTACAATATATATAATAGATTGAAAACGCTTTATTTAAAGCAGGTACTTTAAAAGTTAATAAACTTAACCCATTATACTCAACTATTTGAGACACCTGTTTATTTTAAATGAATTAAATCAGCGAAATCTAATGAGCTATTTTTTTTAACTCAAACTTAAATCATTAATCCAATTCCATTATTTGATATAGTCAAATCTACTTCAAAGAAATTTATAGCCAATGAGGTGTTTGACAATTTATTTCTAATAAAAATTATATTTATATTTTTAAAACAAGTTTTTTTTTTTATTGCCTTTTTAACATTAGAATAAAAAAATTAAGCATTATTATTGCTATTGCGGATTTTAATATTTCGGATGAATATTTACACAGAATTCAATGCTTTTTTGATGTAGTTCGACAAAAAATATTCAGAATTACAATTTCTCTATAGTTTTAAGGCGAACCCTTAAGATATAAAGGATAAAATTTATGAATCGGGAGAAAAACCTTTGGAGTACATAATTCGCAGATATGACTGACGAAGAGTTCGTTGAAATTTATTTAGATATTGAAGATTCTCTAATCAGTTGATAAAATAGTGTAATAAGAATCTATCAATTTATATAATAATACAATCGATTAGAGATAAATAGGTGCAGTTACCCATGTTAATAATTAAGGCTAATTTGGTTCCAGAGATATTTTGTTTTCAAGGAGGTTTGGAAGGATTCTATAAGATAACAAAAAGAGAATTGCCAATACTTTCTGTATAATAAATTTTTGATTGTTCAAAGCGTATTCCTGGAGGATGTGATGGTAGTACTCCAACAGATTCTCATTTCTCTAGTTTTCATTTATTTTTCTAGTAAATTGCAAGTAATTGTAAAATAACAAAATACCTTATTAAAAAATCTATAAATTTACAACAAATTGCTTCTAAGGGTAATAATTTTATGGTGTTCTAGCTATTAACCTTATTAGGGTTCATTTAATTAATTTAATAGTAAGATCAATATTGGATTTTCTTGTAATATGCATTCCATCTATAAGTAGGAAACAATCTAATTGTATTAAATCTAAATAAAGAATTATAAAAAGAAAATGTTTGATTGATTGTTAATAATTGCGATAAATTTAATATTTTTCATATTAGCTAATCTCAACTATATTAAAAAATATACCATTTATTATAATGTTAATTTGAGTTTTATCCAAATATTAATTATTTCAATTACAAAAGAGTATTTAGCGAAAGATCTTAAGTAAGATGTTATAAAGATAATAATTTTAATAATTCATCCTCCTGATTAAGAGTGGCTGAACATTAAATTTTTCAATCTAATTTTATTTATTCCCTTTCCGAATTATAAAAACAACAAGTGAGATTTTATCATTGCAAAATTAAAGAAAAAGGAGATAAGTTTTAATTCAATTGGAATCTATTCCCTCGAATTCAATATTATCATAGTCAATTATAATTCATTTATAAATAATTTATATTTTTTATATTAGAGTAAAATTAAGTTATGGATTTTGATTTAACAAGGTTTGAATTTATATCTTAAGAGCCGTATATTAAGCATAATAATAGAACATTTTTTAAGTTGAGAGAGAAAAAAAATTCATCTAAGGTAATAATGTTGTTTTAAATTGTTAGATATTTACATTCTTGATAATAGATGGGGTTAGCGAAGATAATCTAATGAAAAATCACATTCATTGTTAAGGAAGAACTGAAGGAATAGTGAAAATTAAAGGACATAAAAACTTGGACTTTTAAGATTAATTTGGGATAAAAGTTTGCAGATAAGGATACCTCCTAGAGGAAATCTCATAGAGTCTTAGCTAAGTAGCATAAATCGAAAAAATAAATGAAACAATCATCTCGTAACTATTGCTTGATGTTGTAACAATTTTAGCTGATTTGTAAGAGGAAGAAATTGCATTACCATACATAACACCTGATCAAATAATGAGAATGAAGGATGGGAAATTTAAATTATTTGATGTTAATCATGCCATTAGTGTGATAGGAATGGACAGCAGTGTTTAAAGAGAAATTAAAAGTGATATTAATTATATGGATCCTGATACATTTGCTGCTTCAATATCAGGATAAATTTCAACTCTTCAAAATTATTTTAAGTCGGTTGTTTATTCTTTTGGATTGATCATTTTGGAATTTAATTGTTAATAGTAAGAATTATATTATTAATATAGATTTTCAAATCACAGGAAAACAGAAGAATAAATTATCTTCATGTTAGAACAATTAAGCATAATGAATCCAAATATTTCAGATTTAGTGAATTAGATGGTTTTATCTTCAAAAAATAAGAGGCCTAATTGCAAAGAAGTGTATGATCATATGATAGAAATCAAAAATGGAATAGAAAATAAAGTGGAAATTTAGATGGGATAAGATTTCAATTAGCAGCAAGATAATACTTTTAATTGGACTAAATAATTTACAGTTTCATAACCAATTAATGAAAATTTCTTTTCATAAGAATAATTTGGAGAAACAAACAAACAAATTTAACCTCAATAGGTTTAAAGGTTTTAAGATAGCTTGGCTTATAGCGATAATTGCTAAACAATGTAATTTGTTTAAAGTGGTATCAAATTGCCAGAAAATCTGAGGAATTAAATAAAGCAATGGTAGGAACGACAATAACAAATTTAATCACAGTAAGACTTTACTTTAAGATAAGACGAGCCAAATAGTAATCATTTAGAAAGCTCAGATGAAATAGAATAAAATTTTTATAATTAAATGTCATTTGCCTAACTGGTGGAGATACTGAACAGATTTCCATTGATTAAGCAAATAAACGAGAATGATTTGATAATAAATGAGTAATAATTAGTTTATATCTAGCGAATACAATATAGATGAGTAATAAAATATATTCAGGTGCACTTTTCAAAATTAAGAGAAGGTAGTTAAGATATATCGAAACAAGCCAGCATCTCATATCTTCTAATTACTCAACAATATCAATCACATTTAAAAACTAAAAATCTATGGTTTATGTATTTACGAAGGATATTATTTGTAAGAATCTGAAAATGGAACTTGTTTAGGAACTCTTTATCTTATAACATAATAAATGAACTGTGATTTAGAAAGAGCCTTGGCCATTCCATAAATACACTAAAAAAAATAGAAAGAATCAGTAATTTTGAACATATCTCTGTTTCTCAAAGCATATAATGAACACTTTACTCATGGAAATCTAAAACCTTCAAATATTTTATTAGGTAAGTTATTTATTAAGAAGTAGATAATTCATTAAATATTTATGTTACAGATTATGGCTTAAGTGAAGTAAAAGGAGAATTAGATGATCAGCTCTATAGTAGTAAACCTTCTTGTGTTTATTCCCCTCCAGAAAAAACAATAAGGAATACATTATCTAACACATCAGATGTTTGGAGTTTTGGAATCATAATAAGTGATATTCTTACAGGATAAAAAATGAACAATACTATTATCTAAAAGTTAGGAATGAAGGACCATTCATATCAAGGGCACTTGTAATTAGATAAATTAGATTTTTTTCCATCATTAGAATAAAACAATAAAATGAAAAATCTCCTCAAATAAATGACACTGTATAATTGTTAAAAGAGGATTACGAGTGATTAGGTCCACAATGAACTTAAAATTATTTTTAATTGGACAGATTAATCAAATTTCAAGAGCAATAATACTAATAATTTTTACGCTGGAAACAAAATTTCATAATCAAATATATAGAAAAACAACTATGTATAACCTTAGCCATAATTATATTCGATTAATTAAAATTAATAAAGCCCATCCTTTACTAGTATTAAATAGACTATTTAAAATAATCAAAATAAAATTCACAGAAACACTGGATTATCACATAAAATTCCACCTCCCTCTGCTAGGTAATAAAGATTTGATAAATCCGGTGGAGAGTTTTACATATAAGGAAAGACAGTAAATTTATAACCACAAGATGGAGGAAAACAAAAAAAATCATAATGATATAATTACTACAAAAGATAATTTTTAGAATACAGCAGATAATATTTGCATTTTTAATATCAATCTCGAATGTTTAAACGATACCTAAATTAATAATCGTTCTATCCAATTTTGGCTCTAAATTATTAACTTATTCTCATTTTAAATCATATTCTACCTTAATCATATAGATATACTTCCTATATATGTGATTCTCTGAAAACGTTATATTCATATCCAATACAACATCCATACTAAAAGTCCTAAATAATACGAAGGCGTGATTTCTTCAATCAACAATAGATAGAATAATGGTCTTTTTTTAAATAAAATACCCTTCATTTTCCCTTCAATCTGTTAATTAATTTTCTACATATAGTTACTTAAGTTTTTAATCAAAACACAGCGCTATCTCAATCAATTACAGCAATATAAGATTATTTATCAATTAATTTTAATTTGAAATTCGTAATCTAAGTATTTGATAAGATTTAATAATATGTTAAATAAAATATTTGTCAGAGCATATTTTTAGACTGTTAAAGCAGTACGATTCACTTTCGACGAGATATAAAACTGTAGCAGCAATTTAAATGCAAAAATTGAAGAGGCCTATGGATCACATGGATTAGGGCTTGCAATTGTAAGTGGAATCCCTAATTATTCAAAAATGAGACTAGAACTATTACCTTTGGCATAAAAATTGGCTGTTCAACCACAAGAATATCTAAAAAGTCTTGAAAGGCCAGAAGCATTTTATTCAAAAGGTTGGAGCTGCGGTGTTGAATAAGTAAGGAAAAAATGATAAATTTAGTTTAAAGGCAAATTTGATAAATCTAAAGGGTCTTTTTATAATAATCCAAATTATGATACTTGCCAAGATTTAGGGAAGGAATATGAGCATTTAATTAAAAAGGGTAGTCTCATAAGGTTAGACAATGTATGGCCAAGCAAAATTCCAGAATTAGAAGGGGCATTTAAAAACCTTGGGAGATTGATGGTAGATACAGGAGCTTTGTTATCTTATCATATTGATAAATACATCTATTCAAAGTGTAATACTTATGAAATGGGAAAATTATACAGATTTATCAGATCCGGCGATTCTCATGTTGGAAGATTGTTACATTATTTTGATGGGCCAAACACTGATGAATGGTGTGGATGGCACAATGATCATAGTGCCCTGACAGCTTTAACGTGTCCTATTTATATGCACAGTGATAAAATTGTAGATTATACAGATAAAGAAGGAGGTTTGTTGGCTAAAAATAGATATGCAGAAATAATGAAAGTAGGAATGGATCCAGATTGCTTAGCATTTTAAATTGGAGAAACAGCATAGATAGTATCAGGAGGAATAGTTGAAGCCACACCTCATTGCGTAAAATGAGTTTTAATTAAATAGGTTGTTAAAAGTGATGAGACCGTAAGAAGGTAATTAAACAGAAATACTTTTGCTGTTTTTATGGGTCCATTGTTTAATGAAGTTTTAAATGTTCCAAAGGGGATCGACAAAAATAAAGCATTGAATAAGCCAGCCTATAACATTCCATCCCTCTTAGGAAGATGGGACGAAAACATGACATTTTTAGAGTATAGCGCCAATAGTTTTAAAGCTTATTCATGACATTAGAAGAATGATTATCATAAATATTAATATAATTAATTTTTTCAATATTTGATTTGTCACACATTAAAATATAAAAGAAAAACTTAAATGTTGATTTCAAATCTTAATTTTTATAAAATTATTGTGGTCTTCATTAAGATTATTAAGTAAACCAGAAAAAAATAGGATCATCTTTTAAATAATGTATAATATAGAAATTAAGCATCAAAATTTAATTACTTAATCACTAATTTTTAATATCTACAATAAAAGAGAATTAGATATTAAATCATGAATTATCGAAAAAGATTATTCTTAATTCAAAAATGGCCTATAAAAAAAAAAATCAACTTCTCTCCAATAAGATAATCAAGATATTTCAAAAATTAATCTCTACATTATTAAAGAATTTTTAAGAAACTTGGAATCGCAATTGTTAAAAGTTAGATTTAATGGAGAAATTTTAACAGTTTATAAATTGTTGAGTATGTTAATTGAAAAATTAATGTATTTTTAAAAATTAATTCTACGAAAAAAAAAATAAAAATATTTCGTCATTCGCTTCATGATTGGAGTTATACTTAAAGTTAAACATAATTATAATTAAAAGAAAAATAATTAAAATCAGCAAAGAAGGATTAGAATCAAGTTAAGGTTAATAAATGCTATTATATTCATGAAGCATAGATATAAATATTGACCATGCAATATTTTCTTTCTGGCGAATTGCCTATACTAACCAGAGGCTCCGCACGAAATGTATTTAACTAAAATGATTCAAAATTACATCCAATATTGATTATCGTGACTTTAATTGAACTTAAGAACCTCTTAATAATAGTATGATTAAATCCATAATCTAATGAGCCAATATTTCATACAAATATCGTACAATTCAAATTTAATATTCAATTTATGTATATATATATTATTCCATATTTTACATCCTTGTATTAGATATTATTTATAGTCAGAAAGAATCAAAATTTAAGTGATGATATTAATCAAATTTTCTAAATATTTTTTATTTTCATATCCAAATGTCAAAAAAATCTACTCAAGTTATGATAAAAAGCATAATAATAAGCGAGGCAAGAGGGAAATTCAAAAAATGTCAACTCTGTCAGAAAGAATTTGGAATTTTTCATAAAGAACACCAATGCAAAAGGTTAGAAAAATAATCTCAATTTTAGGTGTCGAAGAGCAGTTTGCTAGAATTGTGCAAATCATCATGGACCCGTACTAGGAGATGCTGGATTTTCCAAATAAACTCACAGAATTTGTAATACTTGTAAGGAGGAAAGCGAGTCAATCAAAAAGTTTATCGAACAATACAAAATAGGTTTAGGAAAAGATACCTTTTCAATTGATTGGCTTAAAGCATCGGGTCTAACAGTAGACATTGCTAAAAAGGTAGTACCATTTTTATATTTTAGGAATACGAATTTGCTTAAAAAGAAAATGACAAGGCAAAGGATAAAGGAGAGTTTATGAAAATGAAATAAGAATTATAATTGGCGATGATTGACTTCTGGCTTAACCTTAATTATTCTTTGAGGGAATTTTTATTTTATTTATTGAAGGACGAATTAGATTAATTACAATAACAAATATGTCGAGTTTTGGGAGCTATTCTGTTATAATATCCAGAAATCGGATATGGCCCAGACTAAGTTATATTAACAATATTTTTATTGTGTTTCTGTTCTGAAGCATCAGCATACACAATCTTAACAATATTGTACTCAGAAATTATTCCTTCTTATTTGTACCCATTGAATTTAAGAAAAACACCCTATGACTATCAGCATGAAATTGACTAAGTCCTATAAGTACTGGAGCAAGGATTTAAAATTAAATAATCAGAATTATAAAACATTAAACCATTTATTAGAACTAGAATCTCAAGATATGTCCTTCCTTTGGGAATCAACTTTTATTAATTTTAGACATCTTTCTATATGATTAATCAAATACTGTTTGGTCCAAAGACTGGATATGACAATTTTATCAAATGTATAGCTGTCAGTTATTATCAATAATTCGAAGATATCAAAACAATGATTAATGCTCAAGATGATGCTGAGGCTTAGATTTTGAGAAATGTGAAATCAACTTAATGTGAGAAAGATTTTCTCCTAACTAAAGTAATAATATTTCTACCTCACAAACGAGTGACTTAAAGTGTTGTCATACAGAGATCAAATGAAAAAAAACCATCAAGTTAAATATAGCCAGAGCATAATAGGGATGTTAAGGTTGAAATTTAAATTAAGACAGATAATAGTATGACTGAGTATGCCGCTGTTTAAGATAAAAGCTTTTAGGAATTGAGGAGAAAATCTGTTGAAGTAAAAGCAACCCCAGAGGCTGATGAAGAAAAAGCAAATCTCAAATAATACATCGAAAAAATAGAAGAAACTTTAATGTTAAAGCATAAATTAGTCACAGAATTGTAAAATAGAATCAAAGAATTACAAAATCAACCTCCATAAATTAATAATTCCTAAGATGTGGATAAGTAGTTATTAGAAGCTAATGAATAATTAAGAAGAAGAATTTAGGAATAAGATGTACAAATTTCATAATTAGAAGAGTAAAATAAATATTCAAATAAGCTTCAAGAAGATGCTTAAGAGATGGTGACTTCCATTTAGCAATCAAATAAAGAATTAGAATAATAACTTGAGACTTCTTTAAGAACTAATAAGGATTTGTACCTTTAGATTAAAGATTTAAAAAATTAAAGTTCTAAACTTGAGCCTCCTTCTCCATTAACACCTTCAAGAGAAAAAAACTATTAAATCAATATTGCTTTGGTTTAAAAGAAAAACGAGGAATAGTTACAGTAGAAACTAGATGAAGAGTAATAAAAAACAGTGTAATTATAATAATAGATGAATCAATTGAATAAAGAATTGTTGGGTTTATAATAATTAAATTAGGATAAGCTCAAAATTATTGGAAATTTAGAGGTTAGATTGATTGAATTGGATTCTACAAGAAAAGAAAATGAAAAACTCACACTTGAAATTGCAGCTCTTTTTAAAAAGATTGAACATCATGAATTAGTGATAATTTAACAACAAGAGGAACTTGATGATTTGAAGGCTAAATATGATCATTTATTGAAATAGCATGAAATCTAAAGTGAAGAATTGGATCAAGTAAGAATTGAAAAACGATAAAACTTAGAGGAATACGATAGAAAGGAGAATGAATTATTGCTAATCATTGAAGATTTAAAAAATAGATTGGCAGAAGTGAATAAATAATATTAAACCACTTCAGATCAATTAAATCAATCTCTAGACAATAACAACTAACTGTAGAATTTGGTCTAAGAAAAAGATGAAACAATTAAACTACTAGAGGCAGGGATAGCTAAAGGAGTTAAGAAAATTGCTGAAATAGAAGCCAATCATCATAAATAACAGGATGATGATAGAAAGAAAATAGAAGAATTGAATCAAATTATTGAACAAAACAATAAAAAAATTAAAGATCTTGAAGATAGTATTGCAGAAAAGGATGCTAAACTTGAGGAGCACAAGAAGGAATTTAAGGCACTTAAAATCATATTTGTAAGTTTAGAGGAGAAATGGACGAAATTAGATAATGATCATAAGGATTTAAGTGGTAAACATGAAAGATTGATTGCTGAATGTGAAGAATGGAAGAAGAAATTTAAGGATCTTGAAGGTGAGCATTAAGGATTAAAAGAAAAATATAGATTAATTGTTATAGAATATGAAAAAGTAAAAGAAAATACAAATGATAAGATGAATGAATTAAAATCTCAAAATGAGGATCTCCAAAGAAAACTTAAAGCATTGGAAGACAAACATTAATTATTGTAAAATTAGCATTAAGCATTAATGGATAGATTGGAGAAAGAAACCTAAAACCATATTAAGAAGGTTGGAGAACTAGATTTAATAATTATAGGATTGGAAAAGAAGGCTCATGAATACAAGACATTAAGTGATAATTAAAAATTGGAAATTGATAACTTATAAGCTATTATTAAATAATTGGAAGGTAAAATTGCCTAAGCTGAAAAAGACTAACAAAATAGACATCAATAATTGCTTGTTCAAATAACTTAACATTTAGAGAAAGTGACCAAATTGGAAAATAGAAATAGCAAGCTTGAATTAGATGTTTTAGAATTAGAAAAAAGAATTTAAGAACTCATTTTGTATAATTAGGATTACAAAAATGAAATCATCAAACAAGATGAAAAGATTACAATTTTAATTAAGGAAGGATAGACAAAAGAATCAGAAATACTAAAACTTATTGAAGTGATTGAAAAGTATAAACTCGATTTGACTGATTACGAGAAAATTATTAGAGAGTTAAGATAGAAAATTCAAGAACTTGAACTAATTATTGTGGAAAAGGATAAGAAAATTGTAGAGCAAGAAAAGTCAATTAAAAAGCTATAGACCTTGCTTGTACAATTTAAGACATTATCAGAAGAAATGGCTTAAATCAATTGAAATTATTTACAATATAAAATAAAATTATTCACATATTTTTATGAAAAAAAATCAATCTCTTTTCAAAAGGGTCTTAATTACTGGCGAAAGAGGAAAGTATAAAGCTTGCTAAATCTGTTTGAAAAGATTTGGAACAGAACATCAATGCAAAAGGTAAAGAAAATATCTATTTAGATGTAAAAGAGCTATTCGTGATAAATGTTAGAATTATAAAGGAAGAGTATTTACTGAATTAGGATAAAGTTTCTAAGGAGGAAAGCGAATCAATAAAGAGATTTGTGGATACTAATCATATCTAGTTTCTCCAAGATACTAAAGCAATTGAATTGTTAAATTTAGTTTGGAGTGACGAAGGAATAAGGCAAAACAGTAAATAAATCGTTCTAATTAAAATTAGGAATATTTGTAAGCACAAAGCAAGATTTAGCAGAATGAATAATCAGAAATTAGAAAAGTCAAAAATAATCTCAATGTTGCCTTTGCTGAGATACCTGGAGTTTTCAATTATTCATTGAAAGAGTTTATATATTATGTTCTCAAGGAGAATGAGTATGAAACGATGAAATAAGTCACAGGGAGAGTTCTTGAGACTTTTCTTTTCAACTATAATGAAGTCGGGTTTTCACTAGATTTAATTATGTTGACTGTATTTTTTCTCTGTTTTGGATCTCAATCAGCTGCCTTTTTATTACTTAATATTTTTTCGCAGAGATGGTTTAAGCTAATCTATATCCCGCTAATATTATTTCATATGATAATGGAGAAGATATTGATAGAGTACTTTTGGTTCTAAATTCTTCATTTAAAATGCCATATCAAGTTAAGCCATTAATTACTAACTTTTTGAAGTCAAGATTAATAAAGTATTAATAATGTTTTACTATAAATATGTTACAATTTGAATCAACCTATTATATTATTGACTCTCTATATTCATTATATTAATAAGCTTAGGAAGAATTTATAAAATTTATAGCATCTGCATTATCTCAAAATATTGCTGATGTTAAAGCTAACCAATTAAATATTGAATAAATCGAAATCATCTTGTTGAGATAAGTCAAATATTCTAAGATTTAGGATGGCTATTTTAAAACCAAAAGTGTATAATTTTCACTTTATACCAAAACAATATCAAGATATTAGATAACCAGTAGATTTTCTTCCGTGACATAGGATCCAACGTCTAGTAACATGGATTTTGACAGAGTGAGCATTTTAAATTGAAAATTAAAAAGAAGAAATTGCAAAATTAAATAAGTAATTAAATGGACCAGAATTATTAAGAAAAAAAACCCTTTAGCTGAAACCGAAGGATTAATTTATAGAAAGACTTAAAATAAGTTGAAGACGAAGACTTAGTATTTTCTAATTTAAGAAGAAAAACCTTGCATCTCCTTGATTAGGAGGAAGCAGATGAAGACATTGTTGTTTTAATAGACTATATCAATAAATTGGAAGAAGTTCTGATCAATATAGCATAGAGTAGTTAAGGAATAAAACATCAAACATTAAAATATTGGGAATGCAAGAAAAAAATGAAAAACTATTTGAAGTAATTTAAAAGTTCAACAAGGAAGTAATAAATACAAAATATCTATGCTTGAAGTCAAAGATAAAGATTTAGAAAGTGGCAAAGCTGGAAGTGATGGATTATAATCAAATTCATGTTTAAGAGAAATATAAAAATTATAAGATGAAAACGCTAAGTTATATAAGAAGATTTCAGAATTAGAAAATCAAATTTTTGAGTAAAATTCTAAATAAAGTGATTAAAATGAAACTAGAAAACTTCAAATTTAAATTACTTAACTTGAATAATCAAAATTCTTGATTAATGCATAATTGAGCTAGAGGGAAGCCACAATCACATAGCTTTAGAGATAAATTCAAGGACTTGTAGAAGAAAGTAGTATGAAATCTGAAGGTGATTAATATATTTAGGAAAGAAAAAAGAATGCTGAATTGTAACTTTAAATTAGTAGTTTTGATAATTAAGAAAAAGTTTGGAAATCAAAATTAAATGATATTGAATATAAGCTTAAAGAATAAGTGTTAATAAATTAGAATTGGAAACTAAAGTAAATTCTTAAAATCCCACTATAATCATTACAAATTCTTAAAAAAGAAGATTAAAAAAGATCAATTAACTGTCTCTTCTCTTCTGTTCTTTATTAAATTAAACTATTTTAAAAGGAAAATAAGAGTTTAACAATAAGAGAGGAAGATGATGAATAATTAATATTATAGAAACTTTAATAATATCGAGGAGACTATATCAACTTTAGATTCAGAGTCGAATAAATCTTAACAAGAATAACTGCATTGAAATAACAAATGCTTTAAGTTATCTCAGAAGCAAAAATATAAGGAAAAAAAAAGAATTAGATAAAAATATGGATGTAGAAAACTTAGTTATGTACTTCAAATTACTTTTAGATTCATAAGCTGTTTAGTACAGTAATTAACTGTAACTATGTTAGCAGTATGAAGCAGAACTTAAATCATTCTAAAATAATACAAGTCCTCAAGGATAAATTATATAATAAGTGAAGGAATTATTAACAAAAGCTCTGTTATTAACTTAATAATAAATATACCAATTTGCAGAACCAAAGGTTTCAATTAAACTTAGAAAAGATTAGGATGAAGAAGATGCTAGACTAATATTGGAAGCTAGAAATCAATAAATCTAATGGCTCAAAAATTTTATTAAAGAAAAATAAGATCAATTAGCCCTGTGAATACATACTTAAATAATTTAAAATAGTTAATGGATAAATATCATTTGAAATGAAAATTGTCTATATTTAAATAGAATAAGCAATAAAATAAATAAAGTTTTTCAATGAAATATTCTTGATTCTGTAAAATTGGTTTCAAAGTTATTAAACTTATTTTCAGATATTCCTCTTGGCCTATACTAAGATTTGATCATATTCTCTTTATTTAAAGGTCTAGATAATCTATTGTTATTATTTATTTTTTATAATTCAGATAATTAGACATATAATTTTTGTATTTCCTAATCTTTATTTTAACTATCTATTTCATTTTTGTTTTAGTATCTTTATCTTAAAACTTATAATTGCTACATGTAGTTATTGTTTGGGTTGCTTTAAATAGCATATTAATTGATGTTTTAAATGTCATTTTGTTATGTTTCATTAATATTTGATTATAAATTGATGATAGTTTTACTTAATTTAATATTAAGTTCTTATTGATCCATCAATTTGAGGGTTATACTCTATTTCTACTGTTCTGACTACTGAAGTTTTTAATTTAGTTATAAAATTTCTTGTCTTAAGCTATTATTCTCTTCAAGTAATTTCTAATCAGTAGATTTTCTAATTATAAAATTATTTAGTACTAATCAAGTTCTTCATACAATGACCTTAACTCTGAACGCAACTAAACGTTCTCATTTTCTAATTCCAAGATTTTGTGAATATCCATTTACTTAAAGAAATTATATGAAATTTATATTTCAGTTAATTGTATATAAATAAAGAAAATTTCATTTACTTTTTAATTTATTTTTGTAAATATTTTTAAAAACAGTGAGTAGTTTTATTATGTATTCCTTATCTCCTTTCAGTAGCTTTTCTTATTCTATAACTAATTCTAAAGGCATATCTAATTTTTCTTTCAAAACACTGAAAGCCTTCCTTATATTTACTAAGCAACCTGCATTAGTATTCGGTTTTTATTATATTCCTTTAAATTAGATATTTTCAAGCTTTTATACTATAGTGCAAATAATAATACTATTGCTTTATTTATAATTATTACCCATCTTTGAATTCTTCCAAAACTTCATTATTCCAATTTATCTTGAACCCAAAGTTATTGAGCCATTCAAATTAAGGAGGATCATCGAAAATCAACTTTTTGTTAACTTATTATGGTTAAACAAAGCTGCTTTCCTTTTATATGAGAGAATAAGGTTCTTATTAAATAAGATGCTCAACTTTTTAATTTCCCTTACATTAAACAATTGATTTTTTTAAGTAAGGGCCATCTTCAAAATATGAGTCTCCTTACCTTTGAGGCAACCCATCAAAGTACCTCCTTAAATCTTCAAATAACCCAAGTATTATTAGTTAATCTCCTTCGTAAATTAATTTTTCAGACCAAATGAATCTTTATCCAATTTATTTTCCTTTCAAATAATCCAAAGCCTTTCTAATATTAGCAATGCATTATTTTTCTCCAATCGGTTTTGTGTATATGGGAGTGATTTTCTATTAAAATATTTCAGTTTCAATGTGACATAGTAGGATTCCAGTTTAGCATTAATAGATTAGGTCATTAAAATTCTGTATTGTAGATGTATACTCTCTAGCAAAATGCAGAGTTACAATTTTCAATTAATCAATCTCTTCTGATCTGTAGGGAAGTGTAAATTAATTAATGTTTGGCTCAATCTTTTTAGTTTATTATTTTAATAACCACCAATATAAACCCATAGCGGATTTATCTAGTTACATAATGCTTGATTTATTGATTTTTCCAATCCAAGCAGGTAAATTTCCAGCATCCACTATCGCTTTTGTAGCTTGTAATGCTGAATCAACATTAAATTCAACTTCCAAAATTGACTTAAAGTTATTTTTTGCGACTGGCTATTCTATTAATTGTATAATATAATTTCCATTCCGAATTGGATCTGTAAACAAACTAAATATTAATTTTATTTACTTATCATTATTGTACAATCCTTTCTATTTAAAATATGTTTGAACATACAATTCCATTTCTCGAGTTACACAATTTTTGCTTATTGATGTGGATCTAGCTTTTTATTATTATTTTGAGCTACTGAAATTTCTTGAATGTTGTAAAGATTGATTGACAGGAGTGCCGTTCTAAGAACCAATTTATGATTTTTTCATTAGAGAATTCAAAGATCTGTTAACACTGTCATATTCTTATTTCATATTATGAATTCTTGAATAGGGTCCCACAGGTGATCTATTTGCAGTGTTTGGTTTTACAGATTTTGATTATTATGGCTGATCAATTGTTATTTCTAATTATGTATCTGCGAAGGATTGTTTATGCAACTACTTTTTTTAAGAAAACGTTATTTGTTATTGTAATTTAGATTATGAATTCTATTAAAATAACTGTGTATTTTGTTAAACCTATTATTATTTTTGAGTTTATCTTAAAGATGCATCAACTGACTAAGAACAATTAGTAATTGCAACATTTCCACAATTTGTATAATAAACTTTAATGTCATGCATCAAACCCCAAAATGCTTCTTCATCTCCGTCAGCCAACTATTATTCTGAACTTAAATATTTGTAACTCATTCTTTCAAGTTACTTCAGATAGTCAAGTACTCTTCTATAATTATGTTTGATCTCTCTTAGGCTTTTTGGGTTTCTTAAAGCTCCTTTTAAAACTTCATCTCTACCAGTAAGTCTATTAATTAAATCAAAAAAAATAACTCCATTTTTACAAATTTTGGGCAGTTTATTTTCCAACCCTTATGCATTTGATTTAATTAATCGAATTTATTTAAGCCAATCAATCAATTATTATTTTTATTCGTTAGTGATAGAATTTTATTACTATTGTTATTAATTAAAATTTTAGTCGGAATTTAACTCCTCATGTTAACTTTAGCCTTCTTAACTATGCTTTGATTTATTTTCTCTATTATTTTTTTGTTAAATATTTTATTATTCTTTTGCAATTTGATTCTCTAAAACTTATAGTTAGTACTTTAATTTCTAATTGTAAGAATCTTTGTTAGATTTAATTGGTGTCAGATTACTAATTGAATCATTAGATTAATTTTATGGTTTTGATCGATTTGAGTTTTCAGCATATTCAGTTTAATGTGTTTGCGATCTTTATTGATTGTTATTAGCCTCTTAATAAGGGCTATTTGGTTTAATCATTTTATATTTATTTGCAATTAATTCTTCATTATATGTCATCTAGATTGATTAATTAGGTTAGACTAAGTTTTCATCAACATAAAATAGTGGCTCATCTTATTTTTGAGGTGCTTTAGGAGGTTTTGATGAAGCTGATGATACGGATTTTGATCTATAAAATTATTAGAGAATCTAAAAAATCTTTAATGGATTTTGGTATAGCATTTATCCAGTTAAATGCTTCACTGATATCTATTGGCTTTCCTCTAATAAAGACAATGCAAATGTTAAATTCCTTATACAACTTTAATAGTCTTATTTTGTGCAATTTATTACTCTTATTTTTAATTCACATTATCTTTTGTCTTAAAATAATTCTTTCGATATTATCTAACATAATGCAACACCTTGGGTTTTTATCAAAAGATACCTGTTTTTAAATCATCAATACTCTTAGTGTTTTCAAAAGTATTAGCCCAGTCTATTATTTCTTATTCCATTCAAATTTAATATAACAGTTAATAATAATTTATTTATCATTTTGATATTTGCAATTTATTATATTAATCCTCTAACTATGCCAAGAGTCTTTCGAAATCGTTAACTCTGAATGAAGTAAAAAATCTGGATTTAGTTGTAATTATTGGAACTCCTCCAGGATTTTATTATCTCTCTTGATCCAGCACTTTAAGATTCATTTTAGTAGCTATTCGATTAATCAATTCAAATACTTTCTAATTTTTAAGTATACTTTGAATAATATGCTCTTTCCAATTCATCAAGTTGAATTGACTACCTTTTCTATTATTACTATTGATTTGCTTGATGACTGGGATTTATTTAATATTATGATACATTTTCTTAAACTAATTAAACCTACACATGTAATGGACCCTAGGATTTATTTTATTGAATCTACTATTATTATTATATTAGTTATTATTGTTGTAATTATTACTATTAATAATTTAATTGCTAGTCTGATCCCTTTTATTCAAATCTTCTAGAAGGAGATTTATTAATGATATAAGCTTTAGGACTTTAAGGGATATCTTCATTGCCATCAAACTCTTGATCATCCATTGGATTTCCTGCATTCCAACAATTTTTAACTTTTGATTTAACGGTTTTAGGATCTACTTTTGGATTTTTTAATGGAATCTATTTAGATTTTCTTTTTAAAAAATTCTTTGGTTTTTGATCAGAAGCATCATCTTTAGGAGAACATTCTCCAATTTATTCAACCTATGGTCCTTACTTTTCAGGAGTCGCACTTAAATTAAGTTTACTTGTTTTTGGTGATTGTTATCTTTCTTAAAGATTTTGTTATGATAAAACCTGCTTTTTCTAAGGTATTTATTGCTGTTGCTATGGTTGAACTTCTTATTATTCAGCAACTTCTTCGACATCAACCTACTCGAGTTGTTATTATTCTTCCTATTTTTTCTTTGCTTCCTGAATTGCTTTTCTTGGATCATATTTTGTTCGTTTTTTAAGATTTTCTAAGAGTTTAGGATCTTTCTTTTTTGGCTTAGGTTTTTCTTAATCATTAAATTCATCATTCTACATTTTTCCTAAAGGGGGTTCATTTTCATTTTAATTGTCATAAAGATTTTATTATCTATCCTCAATTTACTTATTCTCCTTTTTTTATTCTGCCTTTTTTCGGGGAGGTTATTTCTATTTCTTTGGAGGAGCATCTTCTTCAAAATGACCATAAGTACCCTTTCCACTAATAGGTATTTCATCGGCCGGTAGATCATACTATCCCTTCCCACCTAATGGTCTTTCATCTTCAAATTATTAATATTTTCCAGTGTTAGCAATTGGTCTGTCATTTTCTAAATATTATTCTTATTCGAATTAATAGATATCTTTGCCTTTTTTTATAGGTCTCTCATCCTCATATTAATTATACGTGCCTTTATTTTTAGCAGCAATAGGTCTATCATCTTCATAATATGCGTTTGCTTTTTTTGTCGCAATAGGCCTTTCATCCTCTTAATTATTATAAATATTAGTATTTTTTGCATTTATTGGCCTTTCATCCTCATAAGTATTATAAGTATTAGCATTTTTTGCATTTATTGGTCTATCATCCACATAATTATTATAATTAGTAGCATTTTTTGGATTTATTGGTCTTTCATCTTCTTCATAATTATATTTACCCTTTCCACAAATAGGTCTGTCATCATCAAAAGAATTTTTTTCAGGTGTAATCCTTTCTTGCATTGCAAAATTTGTTTAATTTTTTGATTTAATAGGTCTTTCATCTTATGAATACTCAATTCTTTATGATTGTTAGTATTATCCTGATAAATTAGAGTTGGAATGACTTTAGTCACGAATTTATGAATTCTATTACATATACTCTTAATAATAAGGTTATGGCTATTCAGAATATTCATTTTGAATTAGTTAATCATAATATTGTTGCTCAACTTTGTTTGCTTAAAGAGGTTATTTAGAGGGTTTTTTGTAATAATTTTATTAGAATTTTTAGTCTTAACTAACAAATTCGTTATCCAAATATTGATTAGGAACAAATTATCTTTACGAACTTTTCACTCTTTTAAGTTTTTTGTAGAATTAACCATTCTGCAAATAATTTTCAATCATTCTTATTAATCTTATCTTTTTTTGTCTTATTTATGGATTTCCATATGCTTAATATAATTCTTGAGATATATACTTCCATCATCAGTTTCGATAATATTTTATCTCAACTTAGCCACATCAGGGACTTTGAAAATTTATCTTGTCCTATATCCTAATAAAATAGAATTGATGACAAACCTTGAATAAATCCATTTAAAATAGCTTTGAATCTTCTGATATGCATCATGATGATTTTATGCCTCTACCTCTAAATGTATCCCTTCACATTCTTTTAAATTAAGGTAGCACAAAAGTTAAGGAATCTAACTATCATTTCCTGATTCTTTTAGGAGTCTTATCGTTACATTATAATTTTTAATAAAATTTGATTTAATAAAATGCTACAATCATTGACTTGCTTCAATTATGTTAAATTAGGTAGTTCCAAAACTACTCAATTTCAAATCCAATCCAACTTGGTCTAGAGTCTTTTAAGCCTTCTACCTAGCAGACAGAATTCTTCGATCTATTTCACTAAAATCAACAGGATCACTCGACAAGATATGCGATCTAGAGGCTGAACCTTAGGTGCGAAATGAATGAAATTATGATTCGAGCATTTCTATGATTATTATATTTTAGTACCTCCCTGTTTCCCTATAGGATTTAAAAAGGTGGCAAAACTATCTTGTTAAGGATGGAGGACTTGCAAAAGACTTTGATAATTTGGTCTGCCTTCATTGTGTTATTTGAGCATTGACTGAATGATGGATTTAAAGAAATCACTATATGAGTATCTTGAACAATATTTATCTATCAGTCGATTTACGTAATCTCTTTTAAACAACAATTTTTCTTGATTGTAAAATTCAACACATCTTTAACCACTTATAAGACTCACCATCATTAGGCCGATACAAAAGACATTTACTAATTCTTAACTGTTAATATCATTGTTATCTTTTTCAGCTAAGAGAATCAATTATTCAGGAGCAATATATTCTAAATCTCTTTAACAAAAGAGAACCTAATAATAGTTGCTCAGCCTTGGGTTGTCGAGAAATTAATCATAGTACTTAATCTATCTTTTATCATCAATAAGGATTCTCTATGGGTAAATATCGATTATTTCGTTATTGAGGGTTTTCATATAATGGCAGAGATTAGAAATCTCATATAGAATGTAGCATAGCTCTTGTTCTGAGTATATAGTTTTATGGACCTTTCGTAGATGAATGTCATTTTATAAGGTTTCATTCAAGTACTCTGAGGTTATTGATAATATTATAAATGAACTGCAAAAGTCATCCATCTTTCCACTATCAAATGATAATATTTTAATCAAACATTTATGATTCAATTGCAATCTGACTTTAGTTCAACATAATACCTTTTTACTAAATTGGCTTTTATTGCTTAAGCTAAAGATTCGCTTGAGTAAGCTTATTTAATTTCTGCAAATATCATATTGTTGGCTTTATTTTTATATATATTTATTTCTCCATAATTAGGATCAAGTTTTTTTTCCAGAAACTCATTTTAAGATTCACTTTATTATTAATTACCCATTTTATTTATTTTATTATTAAATTAAATTTATTTTCTGCAATTATACTAATGTAGGAAGTCATATTAACTAATGATGCGAAAGCTAAAATACTCCATGACTATTTATCTCAAGCTTATGTTCCATAACTCAGTGATCATCTTTTTAAGACTGATGAATACCTAAAGTAGGAGGCAGAAGATTTTGAAAAGTGATGTTATTTTCTATCTTAGGATAATTAATTAAAGTGACGAATTAACAGAAGAGCTAGTTGAAAAAAAAACAATTATTAGTCGAAATGTTAAATAGCTAATAGATAAAATATAATCTGAATAAGTAAATTGTACTGTTTTTACATTAAGGAAAAACTCAAAAAAAGTGAAACCTATAAAAAAGGTAAGAAAGATGAATTGGCTGCTATTCAAAAGGCTATAGATTCAATTTCAAGTGCGATGAAAGAAACGTGTTCAAAAGTAATTGTTATATAACCACACACAGATTGATTCTAAGGAACTGAATAAGATAGGGTAATTACCTTAAGGGATGGATTAATTCATGTCAAAATTGTTCCATATCATCTACAATGAAGATCAAGGTAAATTCAACTGGGCAGATTTCAAAAAGAAAGTGTAATATCCATTATTTAAATTTCAGGTTTGATTAAGACAAAGGCGCAGACTTTTAAAGTAGATTAGCTAACTTTTAATTTAAGGGTGTAAGTTAAGAGAAAGAAAACTTATTGCTTGAGATGAAGGCCGATCCACAATTCTAAAAGGTTTTTTAAGATCCTTAATACACAAAAGCATTCTTAGATATTGCCGATTGGGTATTTATAACGGCGATTTAAATAGATTCACTTTGCAGTTTCAGGTATTGAAAATTAAAAAAAGAAAGACTAATCGGCTGTTGAATTTGAAAGAATTGATAAGGAATTTGCAGGAAGAAAGGTTGAATTGGAAAGTTATCAAAGAACTCATGTATTTATTGAATATAATCAATAGGACTTTTGGGTTTCATAGCTTAAGTATGTTGAGGATCAACAAGTTTTATTACATCAACTATAACCGAATATCAAGCAAGTAGCTTAAGAAATTTCAGGCAGCAAAGTTTTATTAGAATAGCATATTGGAAAATTCATCTAAGGAGCTGAGAAAGTCAATGAATTAATGATTCCAAACATTTGATAGTAGAGATAAAATAATCATTTATAAGTCATAATTTTCACAAAAACAATGTTCTCATTTATCTGTTTTGGATGACAATTTTAATTTATTCCAATATTTACCATATCTTGATTTATGTAATTCTGACATAGTTTATCTTAGTCTTTCCTTCTATAGATTCTAATATTCAAGTAAACTTAATTCTGCTTAATGCTACTATCTTATTTCTTAAAGAGATTCTACTCTTGTTTCTTGGCCAGCATCCATTCTTTATAGCAATTACTTCATAAAATCTTCTCCTTTTTTATCATCCTTTTTATATTAAGGTATTAATTTAGCTTTTTCATTGAATTTTTCATACTTCGTAATCATTCTCTCGATCTTTCCTTCCTAAAACAACATGAAATTAACTTTTTTAGTCAATCCTTCTTCAACTTTATGTCCTAACATTTAAATTGTTTTCGTACTTGATTATCTGGATGAGATATTTTCACTGTAGTTTGCATATTTGTTTTTCATATATTACTTTTACTTGAAATCTAATTAAGGCAGCACTGCTTAGGATTGAATATCTCTATTTCCATAGTGATATATTCTTTATCCAACTTTTTACATCTCCTTTTAAACAAATAAAGGTTGTTTCTAAAATTTGGTTTCAAGAAATTCTATGATTTATTCTGGAGACTTCAATCTATTTTGTATTAATGAAGCATAACTATTAAGTTAATCTTGGGCTTTAAGTTCTTTATCAAAAAAATGAGCTAAACTATCTATCAATTCTCTACAATTGCCTTACCTTAATTATCTTTGGCTAAAGCTGGTTTTTAGGGTTGCCTGTTTTATTCTCTAAGTTATTCCTACAGTTCCCTTCCCTTTTGCGTCACTGTAATTCTTTAAGATAATGACATTATTTATTTTTACACTTTAATATATATAACAATACACTATTTCGTATTTTGGAAATCTATATAATCAAACAATCTATATTGAGTAAATTCTGAATCCCTTTTGTAATCACAATAAATTCATTGAGTATGCCAGAGATACGCAAGAGCACTGATAATATTCCCTTATAAATTCTTTTCAATTTATATTCTTACTGGAATAATTTATTTGAGTTGCATTGTTCTTAACACCATAAAATCATTTTGAAGGGATTTGTAATGATTTATTTACATATGAAAATTAAGAATTTTAGTTCTCCTGTTGAGAACTATTTAACTAATAGAATATGCAAAAATATTAGCCAGAATGTTATTGGTAATCATTCTCTTTATGAAATAAAAAGATCTAATTTATGAATCAGATTTTGAAATAAAAACCATTGGCAAATCTTTTATATTGAACAACAAAGAAATAATTCATATACTTATAAGTCAATAAATTAATAATATTCTTCCATAATGGAAAATATAAGATTAAAGACATATATTAATTAATAATAATAATTCCAAATCACAAAAACCTTTTGTATAAAATTCGCAGTTTCACATAAGGTCATTCTGCTTACCTTATTAAGTTTTGATAATGATTGATATAATGGATGCCATATTGAAATTGTATTGAATAATTTGATGTTAATTTATATTATGAAATTTGATAAACTTCATTCTCATAATTCAACTCCAAAAACAGTGGAATTCTCCTCGACAACCAAATCAACATTCGTGCCTCCACCTCTGGGACTAGATATTGTCACTATGCCTAATAATAAAATTTTTGACCTCTTCCTAAAGGGATCAATTAGTGCTAAATAAATGCTACAAATGGATCATAATGATATTGATAATGTTCCGAGAATTGCTCCCAGACGCTAATAAACAAGACATAAATCAATCAAAAAAAATTAAGCAGATCAAATATTTAGTTTAGTTGAAAGATTTTAACAACAAAGAAAATAATCAGTTATAATTGCATAGAATCCAAAACCCTCGAATCCACCAAAATTATAACGGAAAGAAACTTTAATGTAATTGACATCCAGCACTAAAGAACTCATTTAACCAATATAATAATCAAGATTCAGAGCACCAGTTAGAAAATTTTCGTAAAGAAGCACATCTAGTGGTAAGGAAGAATAATTAATAAAGCGATGCGAAAAATTAAGTGGGGAACGCTTGAATGCAGAAGAAAAAGAATTATTACTAAAAAAAGATATAACTGATGAAGATGCATGGAGAATGATGAATGTATTTCAAAAGAAAAAGTGGTTTTTTGATTATGTACACAGAAACCTAGATCAGCAGTAGAAATAACAATAAAGTTAATAAGAAATCAAAGTGCAAGCTCAACCAATTTCTCTATTCTAAAAACTAAGAAACACAGTGCTCAAACAAACAGAAGTCAAAAGAAAACCTGAGAAGCAATGCTAAGAATATTACAACCACATTTAAAAGTATATTTATAAGTGAGATAGTATCGAAGATTAAATTAAATACCATGTTTTTAATAGAGATTTGCCTGAACAAATTAGAAATCAGGAGAAACCGAGTGTGAAAATGTATAGATCTGAATCTGAAGTTTCCAAGTTGAATATCAGAAATAAATTCATAGAGGCAGCAGATAAATTTAGCATTAATTAATCCAACCCTTAAGTATTGAAGGACTTTTTTGAAAATGGAAGTCAAACTTGTAGATCCTAGCCTAGAATCTCTAAAGCTAAATTAACCTCCAGAAAAGTTCAAAGACCTCAACTATCAAGGGAAAACGATATCTCTCATGAAAGCTAAGGAGATTCTTATAAGAGCATCACTGAATTCAGACTCAATGAATTGTATCATGAAAGTAAATTACGATAAAAATAATATAAATCAAAATATGACACTCCTTTTATTGATAATGGGGATTAACTATAGAGGAAAGTGAAAAATTTAGTTAGATTAGGTAATTTGTAGAATACCATTTTAAATGTAGTTTCATTTAAACTGTAATAATGAACTTTTTCTTTATTATAATGATGTATATGAAATGTTATTTAATATATTTGATATATATGCTTTAAAACAAAATTTATTAACCAAATACACCTAAGAGAGGAGTTTCTCATTCTGAATCATTTAAGAAGAAACTACTAAAACTAAATCTGGATTCCTTGAAAACTCATGAAACCGAAACTTAAATGAATAGCGATTTACTGACCACTAGTAGAGCTCATCATAACAAATCTATTAGTTCAACATAATTTTAAAGAAGAAACAGTAAATACCCAGCAATATTGTAACAGTTATAACAGCAGTACTCAACAGCATTCAAAAATAAAGAACTTGATAAAGCAATCGATGCAATCGTAGATGTTATGATTTTACACGTTGTAAGAGACAACATTTTAGGATTACTTAATGCTTATATACTAGTGGCCGAGACCTATTTAAAATTTACATATTATTCATCAGCCATCCAAACTTACACATAATTAGTAATTACAATGATTATTTTAGCTGCATTTATGCGATATATGTAATGATGTTGAAGAAGTCTAGAAATCATTTAGATTAAAAGTGTTACTGAAACTAAGTAACATAGCGCATAATTTAAAAATGCATGAGACTGCAGTCAAAATATTGAAGAAATTACTGCAATATTCTTGGCATTTTAAAGATAAGTATTTAGAGGTTGTGTGCTTTGACAAACTTGGGTAAGAAGCCTATCTACAAGCAAATTTAGAGAAAGCATAGTTTTATCATTGCAGAGCTATTTGGGGGAGATCAGAGCCTGAAAATTCTAATCATTATCAGATATCTACTTAAAATATTGGATAATATTTAAAAAAACTTCCTAAAGGAATCCAACATATTGATTAGAATTTAGTAAGCAAAGCTACTTTCCTGCCATTTGCTTTCATAAGTTAAACGCAGAATTAATAAACTATTAATAATGCACTTTAATATTATTGCGGAATTGAAGTTACCAATTACTACTTGAAAAATATGAATGTTATTAAATAGCCCCATAGATTTTTATCTCATGTTACTCCAGAAGCCAGCTTTTAAAAATTATTCATTACTTCCTAATTTGAATTTGAAATTTCTACTCCCAGATAGGCTAAATAGGATTCTCATTCGAACGATCTATTAAGAATCAATCCTTAAGATTTGTTTATTTCAGTCCTACAAAATTCAAATGACAGGGAAGAGGTCTTATATATGAACAAAGTCAAGTAATAAAATAAAATGGGAGGATTTGTATGATATTATTTGATATTTTAGATTCCTCCCACATCTTATAGGGTTTAAAGAAAGGATTAGCCTAACATTGATAAAAAGTTATTGAAATAGCCTTTAATAAAGATGATAAATGAAAGATTAACCATTCAACCAAATTTTACCGAAATAATAGAAGAAAGATATCGTGCTGCTCGTATGAATCATAGTAGAGTTCCTCTTAAGGATCAAGTGAGAATCTCTCACTTAAGTCCAAATAGAGATTTATTGAACTATGGAGAATGTTTATAGGCCACGGCTGACCCAGATTAAATGTTTATTGCTAACATACTCTTTTGAAATGAGATTCGATTGTTAAATTTTTCAATACTTTTTAACTCATAATAAAAAATAAAATGTTTTAAATTGAACATTATATCTTTATATAAACTTTATTATTGTAATCAGCGACTATTTAGATACCATTTTTTCTAATTTGACAGAAATGCATTATTATTAACCAACTCCTGGAGAAATTGCAAGCGTAATTCGGATATTTATAAAGGTTCTACCTCGAAATTTATCTCATTAACGTTAATATCATTATGTTTAATCAACTGCATTGAATTGAATAAAGTATATATTGAACAATCATATGCATTTCTTTATTGAGGCAGAATCACAACCTTTTTTTTAGGTTCCAATTCTTATAAGTTTGCAGATTATTAAATGAATGAAAATTAGTTCTTAAATTTAGGTTACCTTTCCCTGAACAATGAATATATTTTGCTTATTTATCGACCTACTATTTCATCACTCCAAGATGAATTCATTGAATTTAAAATATAAACAGTATCTTCTTCAATACAAATGCAAATAAAATGACATCTATCAACATTTAACAAAATTACTAATCTCATACTTTTATTTTCTTAATAATTTATGGAATTAAAAAATTGTTTAGCATAATCCAAATTAATTTACTCAGCTTGAGTGATCTAGCTGGAAAAAATATCTTAAGCTTATCTTGTATCCATGAGAACAATTTAGTATTTTGCTTCCCTTTAATTAATTAGCTATTATTGTTGATAATACTTGCTAATTAAATAATCGACTAATATCTAATTCAACCATCCACCATCAAATAGAGCCTTAGCAAAGATATAAGTAATATGAAATTCATCTGAAGTTACAAGAGGTTTACTATTTCTAAAATCTGATCCATCTCTAGAACAGGACTGAACCTTTTATTTCAAAATATCAAATTCAGAATAAGTAAATTTAGCACTTGGAATGGTGTAAAAAAAAAAATCACATTCAAATTGCAGTTACCTTTCCTAATTACTTAGTTTGCCGTGGCCTCTAGGGATTAGATATACTGGATCTATGAAACCAAGAAATTTGTCCCAAATTTTTCTATCATTTGGATTTTTTATGATAAATGAATACTCTTATTCCATTTATCCTGAAAAATTCAGAGTACTCCGATTAATCACATCAGCACATTAATTCCAGAAATTTTGAATTAAGTATTCATTTTCATTAAAATATAAATGAGAAGAATTTTTCAGTAACAGGTTATTTTGAGAATTAGATATTGAGCGAATTCTAATTATTTGATATTAGATACATATTATGGTTGGGAAGCAACAATAATGTTGAATATTCAGTAGATCCAATCTTATGAATTACCTTATGAATAGGTTTTTATGTAAACCAGATTTTCTTAAATGCAGCAATCCATTTTTCGAATTAATCCCAATCCTTGTCCTCTATTGTAACACATTTAGATTAATAGTATTTTCCAAATAGATATCTCATAAATTCAATGACTTTTTTTTATGTGAGCTCCTTTTATTTGTTTTACAAAAAACACATATTAATTATTTAAATTGTATGATTTGTATCTTTTTTGATAAATACTTATTTAAGATCAATATTATGATGTTAATCATAATACAATATTAGAGTTCGAAGTAATTACGCAAATTAGTTATTTCCTACCTAAGTATTAAGCAGTAACAATAAACATTCTTTGTGCTCTATATGTTTGATTTATTGAGTGAAGAGCTAATAGGCATCCATCTTATGGAGTATTTCTATTAATTAAATATTGAATTTCAATTATATAATTACATGAAAGGATTTTTGTAAAAATTAATGGGCTAACTCAAATAGGAACCCAACCTAACCCAAGCTGGATAATTCTTCAAAAAGGTTAGTGGGACTAGCACTCAATAGTAAAATGCGAGTAATCCTCACATCGTAGATAAAATCGAACAATTGAATAGAATAATAATTTAAGGGAAATAAAGAGACTTCCTTATGTTTAGGATTAGATAAGTAATTACAGAGGCATAATTGGGGCATAACATATCTCCAAAGCTTTAAGATGCTTGTGAAGTAGTCCATTATGCATTATTAAACAATATTCCAGTCTTAATCTCAAAGGTGAAATTAGTGCATCCAGAATTTGACTTGTCAGATTAAGTTAGTTTATCAATTTATGAGATAGAAAATAGTAGATGAAAGAGAATTCGAAAAGCAAAAAGTGGAGGCGAATCCAGAGTTAAAGTCAGAAATTGAAGTAGATACCTTCGCCAATAAAGATTAGACTGAATACTATGACAATTAAAGGCATAAATGGAAATAATAATAGAACAAGAGAAGATGAATTTAAATTGAATGTTTTCGATATATTTGTAATATAATCATTGAAATATTTGCATTTATTATAGGAACTTCATAGTATCTATAAACTTTTGTTATTAACACAATGAATAGCATATTGTAGTATATTATAGAAATAACAATACAAAGACATATCATATGATAATTTCTTAATCATAATAGTTTGGAAGTTAGTGGAAATAATGTAGGAAAATAAATAGTCTGAATATATGCAAAGAATAAATTGAATGGTCAATGTGAGAATATAATGATATTGAATCAATTTAAGATAATTATTTAGTATACAATATCAATTATTTTCATTAACATTTAGGATAAGAGAGCAGAATTTAAGTTATGTAGATTATAAAATATAGGATTGTAACAAAATCCCAAAGATATCCTTTAATGCTAAGATTATTCATATTGATAAAACAAAAAGTGTTAGTATAGCTTATGATAATAGTAATGATTACACTATTTTGGGCTGAATATAATTAAGTCTCTCTATAATTTATATTCAGAAATCTATATTTAATATTTAATATATTTATATAAATATACATATGAATTAATTGAAAGACACAATATAGGAATATATGAATAAAAATGTTAAGCCAATTTTTGATTAACTATTAGCTTAATTGCTGCTTGCTAGACCTGATGATATTGTGAGTTGGTGTATTAATTGGCTTTAACAATTATGTAAAGAATATATGATTTTAAGAATCGACACCCTCTAAAGCAAAACACTCGGAAGCATAGCATTATCAAAGTGAAGAAGAAGAGGATGAAGAGGATGAGGTTTTACCTATTTAAAAAGAAACAAAAAAAACAAATAGAACAGGAGTTTCAGCTGAAGTCTATGGGTAATTTAACAAAAAAGAGGATTTCAAGCCAAGAGTCATTGAAAAAAATAAAGATTAAATTGACAGAATTAGGAAAAAGATTCTAAATTCATTCCTTTTTTAAGCATTAGATGAATTAAATCTACATACCGTTATTGATGCAATGGAAGAGAAAAAATTTTAGTAATTCATTTTATTTTTCACAATTTGTTAGGCCTGGCGATTATGTCATTCGTCAAGGAGATGATGGAAATGAATTGTATGTGATTGATGAAGGTGAATTAGAATGTACAAAGAAATTCCCCAATCAACCTCAAGAAAAATTCTTAAAAAAGTATTTGCCAGGAGAATCCTTTGGTGAACTTGCTTTATTGTATAATGTACCTCGTGCTGCAACTATTAAAGCAATTTAACCTGTAATAGCTTTTGCTTTAGATAGAGCAACTTTTAACAATATTGTGAAAGATGCAGCTATCAAAAAGAGAGAATAGATGGAACAGATCTTAAACAAAATTGAACTCTTGTAGTCAATGGACACTTATGAGAGGTTATAGTTCTGTGATGTTTTGAGAGAAATCAAATATCTAAGAGGAGACAAAGTTATTAAATAGGTTAAAATGATATTTAATTTCTTAGGGAGAGTAAGGAGATACAATTTACTTGATTGCTGAAGGAGAATTGGAAGCATACAAAGATGGTTAAGTAGAAAAGGTTTATGCCTACAAATCAGGTGACTATTTTGGAGAGTTAGCATTGTTAAAAAACACACCTAGATAGGCAACCATTATAGCAATAGTACTTATGCATTTATACAATTTATAGTCAGATTGTACTTTATACTATTGTGATTTTAAATCATTTACAAGAATGATGGGTCCTTTGGAGTAAATTCTAAGAAGAAATGTGGAAAGATACGAGCATTATCTTAAATGAATGTTATATTTATCAAAAAAAGTTGCAATATATTCATAATTATTCAATTTTGATCTTTCAAAATGGTAAATCGAAATAATACATTATCTAATTAATAAATGCATCCACATATTATGTATATTCGGGATTATAAGGCAGTAATAAGCAATGCAACAAATAAAGAATTAAATTTTCTCAAATTTTGAAAACCAGGATGTAAAATGGTTCAAAAATGTTCCTATCTTTTTATTTAAAAGCATGAGCCTAGCTAAATTAATTATCTATCTTATACTCCCATAATCCTCAAGAATTGAGAGATATAAATAAATAATATACATCATAATATTTAATTATTATTTCATCCTTACTATTGTAATGCATCTGATTTTATTTCTTCAACAATATCTGCTCTCTTTCTTAATTCTTACTTCTTCAACTCTAGTTCTTAAGCTCTCTTTTAATTTGCTACACGTTCTGTCTAAAGGTATTTGATTAACTCTATATTTATGACATTTAATGGATCTTTCTCCTGCTGCTCAGGCTTTTTTTATTCTTTTGATCCCCCTCCTAGTATTTTTGAATTCATCTCATCTCTCTTTGACCTTTTTTACTTAATAAGTTCTCTTTGTTATTATAATCTTTATTTTCCTTCTTCTAAAGTTTCTTAATCTTATTAATTTTTAATATTTTGTTAAAACGTTTCTTCCTCCCTTTAAATTTGGATATTTTGCAATTTCTTTTAAATTTCTTTTCATTTGATCTACCTTAAGCTATCAAGGCTTCCCTTTCCTAAGCAAGAGACATAACCTCAACCTTTTATTAAACTATTTATGAAAAGGCTCTCTTTACTTAATTTATTAAGGCCCTATCTTCTCTTGTGACTTTGCATGTTGCTAAGGAATAGATGGTGGTTATGGTGCCTATCTTTTTCTGTTGGCACATTCTCTTCAAAATTCAAGACTGATTCAATCTTTTAATCAGGCTGAGACTAAGCTTATTGATGTTTAATTGGAGCCTAGTGATTAACTATTGGCTATTGCTAGACTTGGCTTTGGTTTGATAAAATTTTATTCCCTTATATGACATTAGATTGTATACATTATCTTTAATAAGATATTTAACATTATCTTATTGCTTCAATAAATTCTTCCTTTTTCTTAAATTTTAATTTTAGCCTTTTGATTTTCAACAGCAATAGACATCGCAACAGCATGTTCAATTTCAATTCTTTCTTTTTCAACCCTTCTGTAAGATATATCCTTACTATTTTCTATAATTCTTTTAAAGCTTCATATTTCAATTCCTTGTTTCTTTTATACATCAACTACTTAAATACAAAGAAATTCTCAACAATCAGCGATCACTCAAAGTACTTTTATGTTGTTTATTTTTCAATCCTATTTCGATAACTTTCCTCAATTATTTTTCATCCTCCTAGGTTGTTTTACATATTTTTTATTACTTTTGAGTTTCTTCTACATTAGGATCAGGATTTGTTAAGCTTTAATAATTTAGATTCATTTTTCAATTCTTTTGCATCTATTAATATATTTGTATGATTGTTTGATTAAATATTGTAAATTATTCTATTAGATGTCACAAATCAACTCATTTGATTTTGATATATTCATAATTGGATAAGTATTTAGTCAATTCAAGCATATAAAGTAGTTATTGAAAAAATATATACTTTCTCAGACAATAAATTCATATAATTAAATAAAAGATATTAAATTATGGGTGTTAGAGTGACATATAGAAGAAGAACATCATACAACACAAGATCCAATAAAATTAGAAAGGTCAAGACACCAGGTATATTGATATGTGTATCATTTAGGTGGTAATGTTGTTGTTCAATATCCCAATAAAAAGACAAGTGCCTCTACCTGTGCTGACTCAAATTTGAATGTTGTTCTTAATGGACTCAAAAGAATCAGACCAACCAAGCTTAAGCAACTTGCAAGAAGACAAAGAACAGTTTCAAGACCATATGGTGGTGTTTTAAGTGCTGGTGCTTTAAAAAACAGAATAATTAGAGCTTTTTTGGTTGAGGAAGTCAAAATTGTCAAACAAATCAAAAAATGATACATATATGTTCTATGTTTTAGTACATTAAATACACAATACATGATCTTAGAGACATCTAATCAGTTTTTCTTTATTTGAAATAAAAATTCATAAATTATTAGAAATAATAGTGAAGTAGGTAAAATATTAAGTAATCATTAAAATCTATCGGTCTAAGATTTCTCTAAGAAGCTTAGACGATTTTCCTTCCTTTATTGTTAACATTGTTATTCAATTCTTTATTTGAATACTTTTTCATTTTTCTTTCTTAACCATTCTTCTTGTTTGGAATGGAAATCTTGAGATCTCTATCTCGTTATTTTTTACTCATTTTTTTAAATTTTAATTTCTTTAATTGGTTGCTGCGATATCTTCCTCTATCATATTTGATTGAATATTATACAGCCAATTTAGTAAAGTTAATGTACTCAACATTTTCTATTTCTTTATTTTGCTTTACGTTTTCTATTTATTCCAAAGGTTATCTTAGAATTTCAGGTTCCTTGTTGGATTTTAGGATTTATTTCTGTTCCTACTCTTGAGGTATGGGTTTTGGGGAATTCTAACGAACTTTAAAATTTGGAGTTAAAGCTTTGGTTAGACTTTCTACGATCTCTTTTGAAATCCTCTGGAGCCCAATCATGGTGTCCTTATGAGAATGCTGACTATCTTGAATGTTAAAGAAAGATTTACTTCTTGGACTATGTATATTAGATTTATGTTCTTTGAACTTCGCATTTCCAGATAATACTACATAGAATATTACAAAATACTTCTTTTGGTTCTGTGTTCGGAGAAAGCATAAACTTGTTTCAAATTCATTTATAGAAAGAGTTTTATTAATAAGTATTAGATATAAATTATTAATAAAAGAAAAAAGCCCTGTGCTTTCTTCTATTTTCATTAATTGATTGTGGCTTTCTCGTCTTTTTGATTATCTTCCCTCTTATCCTCATCGATAAAGACTTGATGCTTGCTTTCTTCTTCACTCTTAAAATTTTTCTCTCTGGGCCTTCCCCTACTTCCATAATGCTTATCACTTGGTATCTGAGTCCCAGCAGGAGGCTGCCCTTCATGCTTGATCCTTTTTAGAGATATGAATAAGATTACTTCAAATGAGTGTACAATGCTGGATAACTTAAGTAAAAACGCCCACAACCACATTTATAAGGACGAGGAGTTTCATCATGTTTAGTGCATCTTCTAATTCTTTTCTTTGCACTTGGGTGGTCTTATTACTCAGACATCTCTTAAATTTATTATTAATTTATTTATATAAATTTCAATGATCATTTTAATGTAATTTATAGTTTTTGATTTAAAAATAAGTATGATTACTGTAAGATATCATTTTATTTCTCAGATGGTTCAGAATCTCAAATTCCTTAAATCAATGAGGTTATCATTTGCTTGATCACGTTTTTTAATAAATAATAATTTACTCATAATTTTTAATAATAATAGTTTACATAATTGGCAACTAAAATGCGTTTCATTACCTTATCTAGAAATTGGGGTTAATAATGTTAGCATAAATATTGAAAATTCTAAAAATAGATTCCAGAAATCCAGAAACTCATACAACAAGTGGGTTCTCTAAATTGCTGTGTGTTTCTATCCAGTTTGTTAACAATTTATACATTTTGCACACATTATTATAATTGGCGAAACAATTATGAAAACTTAATTTCTAGAATTATATAATTTAATGAATAAACTATCATAATATACGGGATCATAAAGTTTCAAATATCAATGCTATATGATTATATCAGAATGCTTTATGAGTTGGTTATCAGAAAGTATGCTATGTTGATAAGTTTTGAAAATTTTGCCAATAATTTATAATTAAATAATGCATCATGTTTATGATTAAATTTACAACATCCACCCATATTATCCAATTTAATACGCACTTAGTTGAGTATAAGCTGTAATTTTATAATGATTAAATGGTTTAAATAATATGTCTGAAACAACTTAATGGATTTATAAGAGCAAGGAAGTTTTGAAACCAATAGTGGAGACTCAACTCATCGGAGTATCAAGAGCAATCTTAGGATTACCGATGGATCATTTCTTTGATCGCTTTAAAACTTTGATCTAGGCTTCCTAAAATAGCAATTTCAAACAAGTAAACATTTAGAGCAATTATAGCTATTTTTTGAAAGTTACTATCGTAATGGAATATTTCGTGGAATATTCGCAGGGTTCTCATCATAAATAAGCATTTAATTATTTAAATAATACTATAGGTAAATTCTCAAGCAAATTTAGATGGCCTATGATGATATTTATCCCGAAGTTTTACATGGAAGTCTTGCCTACGAAGATTAAAGAGTGGGCTCCTGCACTTCACAAAGGATTGGCAGGAATAACAATTGCTTTGTTTGAGTCCCTTGTAACTTGCCCATTTGAACGAGTCAAATGTTAATTAATGACTTAATAATAATCAAAATCAGGTAGTAGATCTCAGAAATATTCCTAGTTCTCAAGTATATGTGGCAACACGATGGAGGAATCAAAGGGTTTACTAGAGATTTGTTCACTGGCATGGAAGTCATGGTTCTGAAATAAGTTGTTTCTTGGACAAATTATTTATATTGGGATCATAGGGTTAGATATTTTTTCAAAGAACGTCCCTCATCAAAATTGACAGTTTAGGAGATTGTCCTTTGCTCTATTTTTACTGCAATTCCCAATATCATCATTGTGTAACCATTTGATATGATTAAAACATAATTTTAAATGGAAAATAATCATTAAATAAAACATCTATCAATTTGGAATGCATTTAAAAAAGTGTATTTAGAAAAGGGAATACCTGGTTTTTATGCTGGTTGGTAGATGAGATTTTGTTAATTCATCTTCTAAGCATTACTAACAACTCCTGTTATGGATTACTTAGAAAGATAACATGGTATCCCATTGGAAGTGTTATGATCATTTATATGTAATTTATTTTATACTGAATGGTAAATCTTATAAAATCTATCTTATTAAAACATTTCAGTATTGTTCAATTCTGAAAAACTGAAAGTTGTTGGTGAATTAATTAATTAGCTATCACATTGTAAACATCACAGTAAGAAACCTCTTGCATTTTGATAAAGCATAGACTATATTCTAATTATACAGTCTACGTCTCTTTTTCCCTTGTAATCTTTGAGTAATTCAAAATGATTAAAAAATATGTTGGAATTAAAAAATTCTAGAGTTAGAGAATTAAAACACTAATGATAAATTAGCAGGATTGTATTGATGTTGAATTGCCATAATTTTAAATCATTAATCATCTGGATCGGCTTGCTAGTCTTATCCATCTTAACCATCTTGGCCGTCAACTTTTTCTGGCTCAGGGGGTTTGGGTGGATTTTTAGGATTTGGTTCAGGAAATTCTGATTTGTCTTCTGGTTCCAATTATAAATCATTATTTTGGATTGGCACATAGGCTGCTTGAGTATCTTTGAATCCATAACCAACATAAAAAAATGCCCATTGATTTTACTAAATTAATTATATTAATAATACATTGGCCACTGTAACAGCCCCACTCCAAGTGTAGTTTTTAAGTATGACAGTTGCATAGACGTTGTTGCCAGAATTATCGTCTTTAGGATTATATACCATTTAATCTCCAACTGTTTTAATTAGCCAATTGGTTTGATAAAATGGTTCGAGTGGACGATCTTCAGCGATTCCCTTCAATCTTGTTGTTTCACTATCAAGATCAGGATTAGCTTCAAGTAAAGCATTTTTTGCCTCCTCAGATAATCCATCTGTGTATAATGTTATTCTTCCTTATTTTAATATTTGTGCAGGAACATGAACCCAACTGTCTGGATTTTACAACTCAGCAAATTCTGGAATTTTGAACTCTTCTACAAATTCCAATTCCTTAGCTAAAATAGATTAACGTATTGATTACGATTGTCCTCTTTTTATTGATAAAGTCCTTTTGGTGCAATTAGATTAGCATGTAAAATCCTTACTAATTGTGCTTTTAAATAATGTTTTTCTTTTCCAGGGAAAGGAGGATAAGTTTTTAATTCTTAATTCAAATTTCCTGTGCAAACATATTTTATTTCTCTAGCCACCTTAACTTATTCTGGGGTTACCAATGGTAATTCATTCCAATCAGTCAATACTAAGGATTAAAGGGTTAATTACTATCGTTTGTGACCCAGAAAGTATAGTAATTTACACCATCTCCTCTAGGTTCAGCATTAGGGGCTAAATAATCGGTTGGTAATTTAGGGACTACTCCTCTGGCTACATAATAATCAGAATTTCTGCATAGTATCTTTCCAAAGAATGTCATTTCTGTTGCATTAGTTTCAATCTGAAAATAGATATTGATATTTACACTTAATTACTTAATGCTTAATTGGATCTAGTAGGTTTCTTCCTCTCCAAAACCATAACCTGCAGCTTCTAACAATCTAGCTGATGCAACAAAGTCTTATAAAATAGTAGGCATTTATGCAACTGTTTGACCCTACAATTTAATAGCTATTATACTTTCAGTAATTGTGAAACCCTTTTTACCCAATCCGCAAATTCAGGGATTTTGTCTTTAAGATTATTTACTTCACTTTCAGATGACAATTTTTTGAAAAGAAATCTATTTTTTTTTGTGAAATCTGATAAGAGTTCGATTGAGTTTATATCCTTATGATTGCTTTACAAGACTTCATTAATGAAGCTGTTGATGTGATCAAAAAGGGTGACCCCATTGACATCTGTGTGGGATTTCAAAACCTACGATAATTTACTCATTAATATATATATAATAAAATTTCATATCAGTTATTTAAATCGTCAAAATAGAAATGCTTCAAAGCCTCTTCTGCTGTGATCTTAAACAATTATCTTAGCAAGTAGATCTAATCCTAATGGACATAAATTTGTAATATCCTTTCCCAAAGAAGCAGCTGGATTAGTAGGTGTTGGCCATCTTGGAAAACTGCTCTTAAAATCAGCCAAAGCGCTAACCCTGGCCATGTAAACTCCTTCTGAGTTCCCATGATCTTAAATATCTTGAATAACTAATCAATCTCAGAATCTCAATACAATAGTGGTCATTTCTGAGCCATCCTAAGAAGATTAAAGATAATCTCTTCAAGGTTAAAGTTCATATTTCTAATTTTGCTAATTCGATATGTGTTCCCTACCTTTATAATTAATCTGATATTTTCATTTTATCATTTTTATAATTATCCATTAATCTAATTATAATTCTCTATTTATTCTTGATTTCATTGCATGATTAATTAATCTCAATTGTGCAAGCTGAAGATTTTGGTTCCGTGATATCTAAATATTTCCTATTCCTTACTTCTACAAATATTCTCTCCAAATATTCAGCCAATTAACTAATGATTGATCAATTAATCTATTATAAAATTCTTATTTGTTTTGGTTTATATTTTTTTGAGCTATTAATAAGTTCTAACAACAATATTTCCTTTGAAGTGAGTAGATATTTTTAGACTTATCCATATTCTAATCAGCGATCATTTCATCTAGAATAAAAACTTCATTAAATATATTAATTGATTTGATAATAACTCCTAATGCAAAATAATGGATTTAACACCATCTCAAATCTTGAATCAGGAAAATACTAATGATACTTTCAACTAATTTAAAAATATAATATTATATATTGCATTTTTTTCATTAAATGATTTATTCATTCAGGCCAACAAGGATACAATGTTGAGATTTTAAACTCATTCTCAATTTAGTACTTGTAATAACATCTGAATCATTTACAAACATTTAAGATTAAATATTATGAACATTTAAGATAACATATTGATACCAATCTGATCAATATCATGAAGAAATTAATAAAAATGTATGAATTAATGCAAATTATCTTAAGGTCTGAGGATTAGTCTTTATAATTAGAATCTTAGTATTTATTTATTTTGTTTATATAAAATCAGTTTCAGTTCAATAGCACTCATTATTACCTTGCTTGTGCTTTTTCTGGGTTATTCTAGAGCAAATAGTTAGCTATAAAATCAATGGGATTAGGAGGTCTTAATATTTAAGAAAAACTCACCTCACTTTTGCTACTTCAGTCATGGCTTGAAGTAGAAGTGGCACTACAGTTTGATCCAAGTAATTTCTAATTGGAAGGGCTTACAATTATTTCATTTTCTAAAAGAATAAACTAGATATTAGTACTTCCTCTTCACTTGACATGTATTTTTATTTGAAATTAAATTAATATCATTTAATTAATACAACATAATAATACTAAATATTGAAAACTTACAATATATTTGAAATTTAAACTAAATGAAAAATGTTCGATTCTGCACAATAAATTTCAAACTCAGCAATTTCACTAATAACCCTTAGGACAAGAGATATAATCAAATAAAATGTATTTAAATAAAATACATCTCAATTCATTTTACTATTTACATTGATTAATGAATGATCAAGCAACTGAAATAATTAGCACTATCTGTGTTAATTTTAATCTTGGTATTCCTGAATCAAAGAAGCTGCCGAATTAAATTAATAGCAATTATCCATTTTTAATTTGATTCAGTTTTAATGATGTAGTAATTTATCTATATTCTTAATCATAAGGTTAAAAATTTTGTTCTCATATTTTAAATATTATTAAAACCAACGAACTCATTCAAAAATTCAATATCAAATGATAACAGTTACAAAATTCCAAAATAAGTAGTATTTCACTGTAATATTTAAATTTTAAGACGATTTATGAGTTATCAGATTAAATTTAAATCAAATTGGGATGTTCTCTCATGTTGAAAGCAATCCTTCATTTTATAAGGGCAAGAATCTGATCAAGTTTCTGCCTCCCCTGATATTTGAGTTCTGCTAGAAGGTAAGCCAATTTAATTTTTTGCATAGTGCATATCTATGCACAACAGCATATTTTAGAATATATATTTAATCATAATTAATTAAAGAACTTCATTCAAACTCTTAATGGGTATTGAGCTTATTTATTTCCTCGAATAGTTCTTCAAATACCCATGATTGGGATTCAGATATTGCTTGAATTGAAGAAAGCTATTCTTCTACTTCTACGGGATCATTTTGAATTAATTCAATCAGTTATTATTCATCTTAACGTTTAGATTTGCGCTTAGTTCTTTTTTTCTTAACTCCTTTCTCGGAATGATTTTAGATATATTTTTCACCAACTTCGCTCACAACCACCTTTCGAATTTTATTGCATAATTATTCTATAGAGTTAGATGATTCTTCTTGATTTTAAGATGAAACCTTCCTTTTCGATAACATTCTCTTGTATAATAATTATAAATTTAATAAATTACAATAGATTGCTAACTTAATCGAATATAATTAAAATCAAAAAAATTAATTTATAATAATTTAATCACAGAAGGACAGAGCTCAATACATCTTTAACACCTTTGAATAAGAATTCAAAATATCGACAATAATTTATGAAAATTGAACATCTTCCCTGCAAATCTTAATTCCCTGGCTTTCTGGGAATCTCAGCAATGCTTCATTCAATTCTTTTATTTTTTCTCTATTGATAAATAACAATTATTACATGAAGTGAGATTTGTCATTGCATTTTTTTTAGTCAATCAATAGCAATATCTACCAAAAGACGATCTTAATCAAATGAACTTGTTTATTCTCAATCAAACTTTTGGTTAACTCCTTAATGTTCATATTAAATAGAATTTGATTAATTTCATTTAAATTGATTGATTCCTAGCGCATAGACAAATAGGCTTATTGAAATATTTCGATCAATTAGAATCGATAAAAATATTTAAATAATTTGGAGTCTTTTGCACAACTCTTAATTTTTGAATGTAGGTTCTCAAGATTCTTTGCTTGCAATTGTCTCTTTTCAATTTAAGACCCTAATTTAATAATACAGTATTAGTTGACAATCAAACAACTTAGGATAAAGACTAGTTATGTTTCATGATATAAGTAAATTGCTGTTTCCACAAGGATTTCAGAATTTTAATTTAATACTTATTTCAAATAGACACTCATTTCATCTAACTTCAAGATCAAGATTGTGTGACAATCATTAATCTAATTCATTGTGTATGCTTTTTCTAATTGCTATTAAAATTCTTTTAATGAATTGTGTAGATTCTTTTCAAAGAATAAATTAATCATTTCATTGGTAATGTTTAGTAATTCTTCTTTTCCAAAGATGGTTTCTAAATTATCTCTGACATTCTTTTCATTCAAAACCTACGTAACATGATTAGACTTCTATAATAAATTAGCAATGGCTTCAATATTATAAGAACAAACACTCATTATTAAACAAGAAATAAGAGGATGCTTATTTTATGTGTAATTAACAAGGTTATCAATAACAAACTTTTTTTGCTTTTCAACCTAAGCATTTTGTTAAGTTTTCATATTCAAATCTGAAAGAATTGTATCTAATATAAAATATTCTACCTATGAAAGACATTGATTTTAGTACTTATATAACTCACTCAAAATGTAATCATATCTTTACAAAATAATGTTGATTCTTAGACTTACTGTAGATTGTGGTATGGTTTCGTGAAGATCTATAAGTTTCCAATGAAAGAAGGCCTTTTTTGATTCTTGATCAGATCTTTCATAGACCACAAATTCATCAGAACAATGAGTTGTCTTCAAAGTTAACCAAATGTAAAAGTCCCTGTCTTTTTGAAATTAGGTTTATTCAAATACATCGTAAGCATCACTCACATCTAATAGTAACCAATAACATTATTGCAACAATATATCACAACATTGCTGTCTTGATTTCTCCTCAACGTCGTTTTGATTCAGAATTTCTTACTTCTGTAAATCGAAAAAACTCAAGAATTACTAAGCAATCCTTTAATCACTTGATATCAATCCAGAAAGAATCTTTTAAGCTTCATTAGCTTTTCCACATCTCATCAATAAAAAGAGGATTCCACTTGGAAAAAACTGTCCTATTTAATACAATTCGGTAGTTTATAGATAAGGAAGGTAAAACTCTTTGAATTTTCTATTCAAATTTTATAAATCTAAATGACCTATTTACTTGAGCATTTCACATTCTAAATGGGCGACTGTATTGCGAATTATCTTCTCACTATATTGTTATTGAAATTAGATACCATTTTTGTTATTAACTCAACGTATTTGAGATATTCTTAAACTAGTCCGCTAATAATCTCATCTCCACATTATGGGTTGTTTCGAAAACCTCCAAAGTTCTAAACAGCTTCTCATATATTGATAGATCCTTCTTGTTTCTGATGAAATTTAAAAGCACTTAATATAAATGATTATCTATAAATAATTTTTCCAGAATTGCTTCATTATATTAATTTAGCTAAATTTCATGTGACACTAATTTTTCAGTTCTGTTTGAAGAAGTGAGTACATCTATCAACCTTTCCTTCTGTCTAACTGTTGTCTTCAGTTCGGTTTTGTAAAAGGAATTATATATCTAATTTGATTACTTGAAGTATTTTACTTATTTATTTTTTTAGAACTCTTGTTAAATTTATGAAAAATTTCGAAAATTATCAATTTTAATGCTAGAATGATATTACTCTTGTTTTTTTTTCATCTCTTGATTGATCCTGTCTCCCAACCTTTTAATGTGATCACTCAGATAATCAACATTGCCTTAATTTAGATGAGATTTTTTGAAGAGGTAATCCACCTTTAATCCAATATCCTCAATCATAAAGTCTATCTTAAGTATTGCTAATTACTTTATGTTTTCTTGAGCTTAATAGGTAAATCAAAAATGTTTGAGATTCTTTTTCTTAGATGATCTGTCTATTATGCTATCAATGCTAATTCTTAATCCTACGCTTATTTATTTTACTATGTCTAATCTTTATTTTGTGCCATCTATTTCAAAACTTAAGATGTCGGCAAATTAGTATTAAAAGTGACACCAATTCCTGCATTCGCCTTATAACTACTTTATTGCATTTTTTATTTTAAATTAATCAAATAATTTCTTCATTTTATTTATTATCTATACCTAAATTCACAGAAATTACTAGATAAATTACTATCTCATTACTTATTCATATTAATTCAACATGAGACTCAAAAACTACACCAGGAAGAGTATAGAAATCTTAATATTATTAAACAATGTAGTGTAAAATTATGGTATAGTTAATATTTATGTAAAATTTGACAACATTGGAGTGGATAAAGAAGAAACAAGGGATGTCATGATTCTTTTGAGATCATAAAACGGTTAAATAGGCTGCTATTCAATACTGAAATTCTAATGCTTTTAAATGAAAGCCATTTAGAATACGAAAAGAATCTGCCATAAGATTTTTATATATGAAGGGGTATGTTTAATGACTTGATATATATAATCAGCATCAAATATATGCAATGACTCCATTAATTTCTTTACAATTTTTAAGTTTTGCTTTGATTCTTAATCTAGAGAATGATGAATGTAATTTACTTTTCCTAAGATTTGACATCCTTCCCTTAGAGTGTGACTTTGCTATGTTCTGCATCTTCATTAATATTTTCTGGGTTTGAACAAACATTGGGTATTTTGGTTTCTTTGGAGTCAAGATAATCGGCATTGATTCTTGGGTCCTTCTGTTAGACAAAGTATCTGACTCTTGAGAATTGGAATGCTTATCTGATTGTCTTTACAATATTCATAATTAAATTTATACAAATTATGTCAAACTTAATATTGTTGAGATAATAATAATTATTAACTTGAATGATTGCAATAGTATAAACTCCAAGTACAGTGAATTCAAATAGACAAAGTAAAACAGTAACTTATTGATTGCACCCTAATTAGCCTGGAGAATATAACCACTTCAGGAGAATACTAAAAACAAGGCAGAGATTCCCATCAAGTTCCGATTGTAAATTCAGGAAATCTGAAACTGCTCCATTAAAAAAACAAAGTGCTAATTAAGTGTTGGAGAAGAAAGTGCTTCAAACTTTGTAAGATAGGCCCAAGACTCAAACAGATATACCTGAAAGACCTCCGGAATATTATAACTTGTTCAATTTACCCTACAAGAACTACAAATATTAGAGACCTCCTGGATAAATTAATGTGGAGGAGTATTTAGAAGGAACCTATAAATTGGGGAAAATTATTGGAATATGGGATAAAAATTTATTGCATAACAAATTGAATGTGAATAAGTATCTCTTAATTTTCATGACTTTAGTCTTCAAATCAAAAGGAGCAATTATACTTCGGATCATCTCATTAAGGCAAGAAAACCCTAAGGTCCTTCGAGTTGTTTAGAAACTATATATATTGCTAAGCTTCAATTGGATAATGAGCAATCTGAAGAAACATTAATTAAAATGAAGTCCATGGAAGACAATCTAAAACAAGATATTCAGAGGTACATTGTTGAAGGATCAGCACATCCACTGTAAATCAAATTTCCATCACAATCATACATTTTGAACAGATGGACAAGACAATCAATCGGTTAAGAATAACCACAATGCTCAAAATGTGAATTGATCCCCAAATTCACTTTTCAAAAGAATTAGGTTAACAATAGTGTGGAATCATTCAAAAGATCAATGATTCAATTTCAGTCATAGGACACTTCTTCATAAATTACAGAACTACCATAACCAATGAAATTTTATAAATTTGAGTAAAGTCTTATTATTGATAGAGCAGTCCGAAAATTAATTCAATTTTGCATCTCTACAAAACCAAAGGAATGACAATATTCTGCTTAAAAGAGAGTTTCGTGTGTTTAAAGAAACCAATAATAGGAGATAGACTTTTATTGAGTTTTGATTTGAGTCCTCAGAACAATGATGATAAGGTCTCATATAAGTAATTTTGTCACTTCATCCGAGTCTTTATTCACAAGAAGGCAAATTTGAAGGAAATGATAGACAGTGTGTTGAATGTAAGTAAATTAAATAGCACTAATAGTTTTATGATCCGGAGAAATAACAAAAAGTTACAAATAGAGAGTTTATTAATATAAATAGAATACTTTGTGAGTAATTCAAAGAGAAACATCCCACAGTTAAACCAATTTATTAAGAGTTGATCTAAAACTTTAAGTTGTCGAAAGTAATAAGTGATGAAAATGATACTTATTTTGATTAATAGGCATTTAAACATGTTTTCATATCAAATTAAATGCACATCTAGGATATTATAGATTTGATTAGTGATGAGTGATTAATTAATAAATAAATTAATTTTTATAAACATGATGAAAGTATAATTCATTACTATTTTAGATAGAAGAAGTGAAATCAACAACCAAAACCTAGAGAATTGCACATCACAGTCACATTAAAGGATTAGGTTTATAAGAAGATGGAACTGCAATAGAAAATGCATCTGGCATGGTTGGATAATAAATAGCAAGAGAGGTATTTAAAGCAAACAATCTATGAAAAGGCAGCAGGAATATTTGTAGATTTGGTTAAATCTAAAAAACTCGCAGGAAGAGCATTATTAATGGCAGGACCACCAGGTACTGGAAAAACAGCCATAGCATTGGCGGTAGCCTAAGAATTAGGATCTAAAGTGCCATTTTACCCAATGGTTGGTTCTGAAGTTTATTCGGCTGAAGTTAAAAAGACAGAAGTGCTTATGGAGAATTTCAGAAGAGCTATTGGACTAAGAATTAAGGAAACCAAAGAAGTTTGGGAAGGAGAAGTTATTGAATTAAAAACAGAAGAAAAGGATGATCAAACAGGGTATGAATATATTCAATAAATTAGATATGGAAAAGTAGTATCAGCAGTAGTAATTACATTGAAAACATCTAAAGGATCTAAAACATTAAAATTAGATCCATCCATTCACGAAAATTTGACTAGAGAGAAAGTTACAATTGGCGATGTCATTTATATTGAAGCTAATAGTGGAAATGTCAAAAGAGTAGGAAGATGCGATGTTTACAATAGCGAATATGATTTGGAAGCAGAAGAATATGTTCCATTGCCCAAGGGTGATGTTCATAAAAAGAAAGAGATTGTCCAAGATGTCACTTTACATGATTTGGATGTGGCTAATGCAAAACCTCAAGGAGGTCATGATTTCGTTTCTCTGATGAATTAATTGAATAAAAAGAAGAAAACAGATATCACAGACAAATTGAGAGGTGAAATCAATAAAGTAGTCAGCAAATACATTGACTAAGGAGTTGCAGAATTAGTACCAGGAGTGTTATTTATTGATGAATGCCACATGCTTGATATAGAAGCATTCACATTCTTGAATAGAGCCTTAGAATCTACACTAGCTCCTATTGTCATATTGGCTACCAATAGAGGTTACTCTTAAATTAGAGGTACTGATATCAATAGTCCTCATGGATTACCAGTTGATCTCTTGGACAGGTATTGAAATACTCATTATACTAAGATTATTGATCATTAGAACTACCCCATATAACTTAGAAGACATCATTAAAATTTTGGCAATTAGAGCCTAAACTGAGGGACTTAAGATAACAGAAGAAGCATTATAAGAGCTGAGTAACATTGGTAATCAATCTTCATTAAGGTATTCAATACGTATATTAACTTAGATTTGCTATTCTTCTGCTAACACCTGCGAATATTTTGGCTTAAACTTCTGGAAGAGAGGAAATTGCCATATAGGATATATAGGAAGTTCATGACCTTTTCTTACATGCCAAATAAAGTGCTAAAGTGTTAGAATAATAAGCAGATAAATATATTAGTTGAGTTTTATATTTAATATTAAGTAAACATTTTGTATATAGTGTCTATTTATGTTAATTTAAGGATTATATATTTATATAATAAATTTACAAATTACTATTTAAATAAATTATTATACATTTTATGAATACTGCCAAAGTTCATACTCGAGTTTTGTCTTAATAGAAATTAACAAGTAAGAATTAAAGAATTAATGGCTAATTCAGTGAACCAAATCAATTAAGCACAAGCATTTTATTATAAACACATGAAAAACATTCTTTTCCAAAAGCCAAACGATTTCCTTCTGTTTCTAGAGAATCATCTCCAAAGATGCTCTTATTATGCGATACAAGAACAAAGAGGTCAACATCCTTTGGATTTGGTACAAAGCTGATTAAACCTTTGGACATGGAGAAAAGAGATAAATTAAATCCAGCTCCTGGGGACTATTAACTTAAGATTTCTTAAAATACAAAATCATTTTCATTTGGGAATAGGTTTGTCAAGAAACATCGCTAAGAGGTGCCAGGACCAGGGCAATATTAGTATAGACTGCAATCCAAAACTCCATAATTTAGCATGTATGAAAAAATAATGTACCCTTATATAACATTCATTAGTGATAAAAAAGTCTTACCTTAATAATAGGCATCCTTTGTTACATACAACCCAAAAGAAGCTATAACTTTGAATTAAAGATTTAATCAGATTTCCTTCGGTATAGGAGACAGACCAAAACAAACTTTAAATGAATAAGTTCCTGGGCCAGGTTCCTATTAATGCAAATCACTATTTGATTTGATCTGTGAAAAAAGAAAATAAAAGGGTTCTGCTTGAAATATTGACAAGGTTTACTTTATTTTTTTTATAATTTTCTTTTAAAAATTTTTGACACCCAAACATGTAAAAATAATTCACAAATATTTATTTAACCCATTCTATTCAATTAAACTCAAGTACTCATTTTTAATATTTACTCCAATTTATCCTATAGCACTTTATGTTCCATTATAAAGCACACAATTATCAAAGACTAATATCATGTCTGCATGAAATTCTCTCAAGTTTTTATATGCATTCACATTTAATTTATTCTATATGATTAGCAATGTATTTGTACTTTAATAGTTCCAAAATCCATTGGTTTTTTAACAATATCAAAGTAATCTGTAATATGAAATTCCTTTTGATCCACTGGTTTATGGAAAAAGTAAGCCCCTTTAGATTTCCAAATTTAAGCTTGAAATTCATTAATACTAAATACTACCTATTATTTTTTTGGCCTGCTTTTCCCAAGTTTCGTCTTCCTTGGATTAATTTATCATATTTTCATCAATGAATTCATCTGCATTTAAAATAAGAGATGCTATTTCAGGATATTAAATTTAAAATTATTAAAAATCCTCATTTGTTAATTCCCTTTGTTATCCTTTGTCGTCAGTATGCAATATTTTATATTACTATTTCGGAACTTCCTTTTACTTTTTCTTATTCTATTTTTATTCCCCTCCTTTAACACTCTCCTCCTTTTTTTGATGAACAACTTCTTCCTTTTGCTTTTGCATGCTAGCAGTGATGAGATCTACGACCTCTTTTTTCTAGGATTGTTTAGCAAAATAAAGAGCTGTTTTCTTTTTATTATCTTGATGATTAACAGGACATCCCGCCTAAATTTTATAATTATTTTACCTCTATCAATAATTTACAAGCCTCATAATGTCCTTTACTTGCTGCATAAAACAAGGCCGTCTAACACGATAGAGTATCTAGATGTGCTACATCACTGCCCAATTTAATAAATCTAAATGATTGATTGCAATGATTACCTTGAAATAATGTCTATTCTATTTTCTCTTGAAGCATAGAATAATGGAGTTTAACCATATGAATCAGTATCAGAAATGTTTATTCCTTATGATACTAAATAATCAAATAGTTTAGTCCTTCCATCTCTGCAAATATAAAAAAGGATGGATTATTTTAGGTTGTCTTTATAGTGTATGTTTGCTCCTAATTCGCATAAGTACTTCAATAGTTGCAATGAAACATCTTCATCTGAACCTATTATTGCAATGAATGTTGAAATTTATCGAGTCTATGGATCAATTCGATTCACTAGATCAATATCCTTTTGATACGTAGCTAAGTTAAATCAAATCAATGCGCTTACTTAATATTTGCCTAACCTTTTCTATGTTCTAAAAATGCAAGGCTTAGCGAAATTCTGCGTATATTGCATAAATTTATTCGGATGTGAGCTTTTAAATTGGGATTTCTTATTCTATGGGTTAGAGCAATTATTGGAACTAATTAATGTCTATTTAGTTAATGCTGATACCTATTTCGGAGGTGATCTATGAAACAATTGAATTAATCTATGACTGAGTATAATTTAAACTTTGCAAAATAGTAACTACTTGATCCGAATTTACCCTCTCATTTATAGCAGCCATTTTAAATCTGGTGAGGGCTGTTTGGAGGAAATTTTAATGATTCATATTCAATAAATTTAATAATGAATGAAATTCCTCCAATAATTAACTTATATTTATATATGTTAGTAATATTATATAATTTTATTTCGTAAATTATTTTTGTATTTGAATTGAATTCAATTATATTAAAGAAAATCAAATATTTATTTATTTTCCAATAAATCAAACATATCAATGTTTTTTTGCATATTTCAATGTATAATCTCTTGCTTTCATTAATGCTTAAGCTTCATTTGTTTTCCATAAATTGGCAGCATCATTGTTTAGTGGATCATCCTTGGGTTATAGAAAATTATAATACAGGATTAGGGGAGCTCAGTAACACCTATATTGAGAGTAAAATTGATCTGATTTATAATGCAGGAGACCATTTGTCTTTTAACACATCCAAACAAATTCTTCCTAAATTGTCAATATTTGGATGATAGATCTTTGTATTGAATACACATTTTGGAGGAGACTAAATTAAACTCAATTAGTATACCATTGGATAATCATCTGGCAATAGTAATTCAACATCAAAGACCCCTCCTTCATATGGAGTATTGGGAGGTCCAGCAATTATTACGAAAAAATGTTTGAAATTTCCAGGGTCAGGAGTTACTTCAATACCTTAAACCTTATCTTTTGCTAAATTCTGAGTCTCTTTTATGATTCTTGGAGTTGGCTATGCCATTTTTTTATAAATTAGATATAAAATTTAATTTTAATGATTATTAATAGGATTCTCGATATTTCTAATAGAACCATTCTTTCTAAAAGAACATAGAATTATTATTCTCTCTATCACAAAATTCCATTTGTATTTGATTAAGAATCTTATATATATAACATATTCTGGAATACTAAAATATTCTGATTAAATTTAACTAAAACTCCATTGAATTTAAAAAATTTGAGTCTGATAATATATTATCATAAGATCATCTTCATTATATTAGGTGAAAGTTCTTCAGAATGAACAAAATGATGTAAATTGTAGTTAATATATGCAATCTTATTTGTTATCTAATAGGAAGGATATAATGAGATGGAAAAATTGTTCAGTTCTCGCACTGAGGCTTGATAATCTGTGGAATTTTGGGACTAAATTAAGAATTTTATTGCATAATGTTATATTTAGTATATATATTTTAGCATATTTTACCATTTTTAAATGAAATTTAAATTTTTGTGATGCTGTATAAGTTCCCTTGAAAAAACTGAATATTTAATTATAAATCTAGTGGGAGATGAAATTTATTTTATCAATAAATTTATTTAACCTTATTGATGATGAATTATTCGCCATTAAGATAAAAGGGATCATATAATGTAGGATAATCTAGGATGTCCTAAGATGCATAGCTCAACCCCAAACAGCAGAATGCATTCACGAATTAACAACAATTAAACACTTCTTAACATTAAGTACAGTAGTCTTATATACTAGAAAATTTAGTCCTAAACCTTGTAGGTAAATACCACTACTCAATAACAAAATGTAGTATCTTAGTAGTCCTTCCAATCGATTAGATCAGTTAGAGTGAATTAAGTGTCTACGAGATCCATTCATTAATAAGTATTCGCAATCTTCAATTTTAGGCTGAAGCATAAGTATCTACAACCAATGTCATTGTACCTCCTCAATAACAGCCCCTGCAATAATCCTAATAAATTAGACTCGAAGGTCCAAGATCATTGAGAAATTATATCACTTAATCTCCTCAAGGCCCCTTGTCTCATAAATCCAACAAGAGCTTTTCACTTTCAAGACCTGCATTCGTAGAGTACTATCCTCCAGTGTATATGCCTCATGTCGAACCTGTCTATAAACAAACAATCATTGAAAATCCAATTAAAGTAGTCGACTTGGTAAGGTTTGAAGAAATGTGGAGTAAAAGAATGAGAGGAATAGAGCAAATGCTTGAGACCAAAAACTAAACAATTGTTTAGTCCGAGAACTTTGAATTAAGAGCATAGAACAATACTGATAGTTAGACAATTATAGATTTATAAACTGAACTTTTTAGAGTGAAAACTTAATTGGAAGATAGAGAGAGATAAATTTCATTAATGAAGTAGCAATTGTAAAATGCTCGAGATCAAATAGAATTTGAAAGCAGTATTAATTAACAATAAATTTAGAACAAAATAGAAGTGCTTCCAACATCTTGACTTCAGAATTGAATATCAAAATTACATCTTTACAATAAACTATTTCTAATTTATAAATAGATTTAAAATCAGTATAAGAAATGGCAGAGAAGTATAAATTGGAAAACTTTTAATTAAAAGCTGAAATTCAATAGAATTTATCTATGTTGAATGGAAAAGATGAAATCATAATGAAATTAAAATAATAATTAAAATCCTCTCTTGATTAATATAATTTTGATGCATGTAACTATTTATTTTAAAGTAAGAATCTGGAAAGAATGCTTCCTAGTAAATTATAAATGAGTTACAATTTAAGTTGAACTCCCTTTAGTAGACAATAACTAGCTAATAATCGAATCTAAATTCGAAGGACGATCTAATTGAGAAGCTGAGAATGGAAATCAATTAACTTAGAATCGAGAGATAGCATATCCAAGATTTATGCAATTAAAAAGATGATACAATATCAAAATTGCAAATGGAATTAAATGAACTTTATTAACAAGTGGATTAGTTGACTGAGGAGATCACAACAACTCAATCAGTCAAGACCTTTGAGGAGGAAGCTAAAATATGGAAATAAAAATTCAAGGAATTAAATGATACATATCATGCATGTTAAGAAAAATTAATGGTCAAAGAAGCAGAATATGAATCATTGGTTAAACAACAAAGTCAACAGAAAATCGTAACTTCAACTACTTTTATCAAGTAAAACAGTTCTCGCAATGTTTTAAATGTAATTATAATATTTTATCAAAGAATTCTGAATATACACAAAGCAGTTTTACATAAAACAATTTTACATAAAATGAATTCGATAAATTGTAAACCCTTCAAAAACCACTTATGATGTGATATTTAATCGTGTATGTTATATTTATAAAATGTATAGAAAAATTCATTTTTTATTCTTCTTTGTTGATGCGAAATCTACATGAAATAATGCAATTAAATACTTTATCCATCGCCCTCCTTAAGAGCTTGTTTGGCCATATCATGGAACTCAGTATAATTTAGAAACTTCTAGAAGTCTGAACCTTCTTCATTTCCCTAAGATGGTAACACTGATGATTAATTCAATTATTGTTTTGACTTAAACTCTTTTGTGGGTAATTCTTCTAATAGTAATCCAGTTATAAATTTATTTTAATTTAAACCATCTTTTTTTTATTTGTTCGATTTAAATAATACTAGCATATTTATATAGCCTTCCAATTCAGCTAATAAATAACTAAAGAAATTTCACCTAAATATTGATCAATATTAGATTCATTCAATTGAAATCCTCCTTAGAATGTGTAAGCTCTAGTCGGATCTTGGTTAAACTTAGTTTTAATCATTTTATGTAAAATGCTCTCAATGATTGGTTAGATCTATGATAATTTGTTACTAAATTAATCAATCTCATTTTATCTATTTATGATATTTGGTATTTTACTTTTAATCAATAATTCTTTGGATTTATTTTCTCTTTCTTTCACCATCAGGAGTAGCTTATAGGATTCTCTCTCTTTCCTTATTTTCTTTTTCTTAAACTTCACATTTTTCTTTTAATTCTTCATTAGCATCTTCTAGTGCATCTATTTCTTGGTTTAGCACATCAACATATGTCCATAATGAATAGTTCTATTCTTCGCTTTTTATAAAGTTATTTTTGATTTCCTCAATATCAGTTAATCCAGTTGCTTCTTTAATTTGATTAAATGCTTCATCTATAATTCTCATGTTTCTTTAGTAGGTATCAATCATTTTAACTTTTTCCTTATTGTTGGCAATAATTCTCTATAACCTTCGTTTTAATAATGTTCCAGTATCAAAAGTAGAGTAATTGGTGGCTTTGAGTCTATTGGTTTTTGATATTTTGTCTTTTTCATTTTATTTTTCTTATTTCTCTTTTAATTCAGCCTTCAGTTTATCAAACTTTTCTTAAAACTCACTTTTATCAATTTCATTCTTGGTTTTCAGATCGAACATTTGCTATTAGGTAATTTCTAGCTATATTTCTTAATATTACAAGCATCGTGCACCTTTCTTTGAGCCTACGATTGTGTTGAAATTAATCGATTATGAATTTACTCTTGATTCTACTCAATTTCTTTCAAGGCTTATAACAGTTAATTTCGTTCTTTTCTTATGATATCAATATTTGATTTCATAATTTCAATATTGGCTACAGACTTACACAATTTTTTATCAAACTAAATTTGTTTAATGTTTTACTTAATCTATTTAAAATTATAGACTTTTAGATTCTGCCTGATCTTTGTTCAAAACCTTTTTAATAGAGTCCATTTTCAATTTCTTTACAGATTAGACTTTGCTTTTCACTTCCTCTTATAACTACCTGTGCTATTATTCCAAATTAAAAAGCTTTCTAAAATAATGCATCTGTTAAATGAAACCTTCTTTCAATTTCTACTTTTCTGGTGTAATTATCAATCTCTCTCTATAAAGTAATAATGATTGGTTCATTCAACTAACCTTGTTTACCATGTGAAAATGATCGGTTAGACACTTTGCTTGAGCGAGGCATTAGTTTTATTAAATATATATTATATATTATTTGAACTTTTGATTGTTAAGATATCAATAATTTTTACATAATAACTGATGACTCATGATTGATGGCTGATTCCCTATGACTACCTAAGCATTCATCTGAAATGGAGAAGACACACGTATCCATCCACTACATTCTAGCTAAACTCTTATGAACAGCACAGTTCTCTTTTCCTATGGATCAATATATTGATTGGATTGATAGATAATTTCTCTAAACTGCAGATTTAAGAATTATTTAATATATTATAATTACAATGAACTCCTTGTTTATGTCCGATCAACCATATTTGGATCAGCAACGTAAATCTACAATCAGCCCAGAGATACGAAGTAATATATAAAGCACTCTCCACAGAAGGACCAATCATTCTTAAGCAGATTTAATAACTCCTATAACTGTTAATTAAAATCATAAAAAGAAAGCCATAACAAAGGGATTACAATAGTTGTTAAAATCAAGTCCATATTTGAAATTAGTTCAATAAAAATCTTAATAATAACTTCAAATCTAAGATAGTTTTTCTTCACAATATTTGAAAGGCCATTTTCCTACTACGAATTAATTATCCTCCCAATTAATTTATAAGCCAGATAATCATACTCCTTCCTTAAATTCAACCACATCAAGCAGCATTAAACACAGGGTAAGAAACAATGCCAAAGATCATAAGCAAAAAAAATCTTTTGACTCCGTAAATGTTTCTTCCAATAGAGATAAAGAGAAACTAATGATTTCGCAATTATAAAATATCATTCAACGATCCTCTAATCTACTAAACACTTATAGAGATGAGTTGCAAAGGCATATCACTGAAAAATAGGACTTAATCAAATAAATTTAGTTATTAGAAGAAAGTAGAATTATGCAATGATTTATAATATTTAATACTTTAATATTTGAATTTCAATCTCACAAGAATTTAAATGAATTAACAAAACCGTAAAAACAATTAGTTTAATTAAATTCCAAAGCTTTTTCAGATCTAAATAATAAGATCCTGTAAATTAATCAAAGATAATTATTCTTATTTAGAGCTTACATTAGTGCAATACTTATATAGGAGGATCTTGGAGAATTGAATTACTATGATGGAGTACTAGCGGATCTTAAATTATACTGATTTACACCATATAAATAAAATTAAGGCAAATAAAAATTAATAATTTAATATCTAATGTTAAATTAATAAAGACTTGATCAATAAGAGACATTGAGAAATGAATACTAATCTACAAGACCTATTTCTTAGCAATTCGTATACACAAGCGGAGTATAACAAGTAAAATACTATTGTATTTAAATATTAGGCTCCTTTTGTGGGTCAATAAGTGTAACAAGAAGAATTTGTATTTGATGGAAGAAATTAAGCATTTAATCAATAGGGAGTTTAATTTCCTAATAATTTTGTCACAGCACAAGTCACAAACTACCCAACCATTAATGTAATGTTGATATGTTAACACATTAGCCTTGCAATCCTTGTTAGGCATCACCATTGCATATGCAAATTGTAGTTGTAAATAGAGAAGAAATAGAGGCTCCCTGGAGATTAGAGTGCGAGTACCTTTAATCAGTTATTACTGAACTTGAATCCAGACAATTAGAAACAAAGATCGTTGAGAAAGTAATTGAAAAGGAGAAGATTGTTAAGGATACTGAATCCATTTCTTAATTAGAGAATGAATTGAATAGATTAAGATTAAGTAATTAACAGGAAGTAAGTGATTTGAGAAGACAAATTTCTGAATTGTAGATGTAAAATGCAAATTTGAATAATTAATTAAAATAAAAGGATTAAGAACTCTTACTCATTAAGACAAGTTCAAGTTCTAGCGAATCAAGATATAAGCAATTGGAAGCTGAGTTGTAAAATTGGAAGAATCAATGCAGAAGCAAAGATTAAGAATTGGCTATGTTAAGAGATTCAGTCCAGGATTTGTAAGATGCAAATAGCAAATTACAAATGGAATTGAGTTCTCTGAGGTTGATCATCTAATAAAAGGATAATGAATTAGAAAAATATAGAGTTACTTCTCTTGAACTGAGATCAGCAGCCAATGAGAGTAGAGATGCTTAATCAAGAATTAGGGAATTGGAAATGGAAGTTAATAATTTGAAGGGTTTATTGTATTAGAGAACTACTGAATGTGAAGACTTAAGAAATCAATTAGCACTTAATGACAAAGAATATAGTTCTAAACTTAATTAATACAGATTCTAAATTAGTGATTTGGAGTAAGAAATTTTGAGATTGAAAACTGAAATTGAAAAATTAAGATAATTGTTAGCCAATAAGGATCATGAAATTGATGATTTGCATATGAGAATCTAATATTTGGAAGAATAAGGAACTACCGTTGTCTAAGAAAAGGTCACTTTCTTAAGTTCAGAAATTGAAGTCTGGAAATAGAAGTTCATCAAAATTAATCATGATTATAATGAATGTTAAGAACAATTGATGATGGCATAAGCAGAATTAGAGGCTCTTCAGAAGTAATAAAAGAAGGTATGATTCAATATTTATAGTAATTAGGAAGTAGTTGTGGAAAAGAGAACTGTAACAAGATCAACAGTTGGTAGCAGCAGTATTCAAAAATAATATTGATAATGAATCATACAATATATAATAATAAATAAATAACAACATCTTGTCATTCTCTATCCAAATATATATATATACATTTAAAATTCTGGAAAGATGAAATTATTTATTTAATATTTCATAAAATATATTAATCATTATTGAATTCATAATGATTCTAATGCACTTTTTGCTTAGTATTTAACCTCTGCATCTTAATCATCACAAAGAGA